AGTATAAGTCCTCACTACTGTATCAGTCATCACCTAACTATATACAGACATTAGAAGTTACACACTTGTCTCAACTCAAATTAACTGTAGGTAAAATGCAGATTTCAGATTTTTCTCACCTGATATTCCTCTTTGGTCTTCAAATCATTCGTCCAATCTGTCTTGTCAGGTTCAGACAGAACAAGAAGGTTAAACCTCCTTGGACAGAAGTTCTCACTTCTGCATCAGCCATCACCTAACCATACATACATTATAAGTTGAACATTTCTCTCAAATTAAAAACTAGCAATGCACACACACACCTTAAATTTATATATAATGATATTAATTTTTTTATATTATATATATTAATATCTTTACTTTAAAACAATTACAGCGATACCTCGACAAAAACTGTACATAATGACCATAAAAGATGTGCATCATCACGGACATAATGGCACACCACATGCCAAATTACACAGAAATACTACGTAGAGAACAATGTGTTTTGGCTGCGAACATCTTAAAGATTCGTATCCCCCCCCCCGTTACGTCTGCATGAAGGATGCCCCACCCCGCTGCTATTGCTATGGGTTTTTCTGGACCATTCCAATTTGCCTCATAATTGTAGGGGTGCATATGAAATATTACATTGACCGCGAAAACAGCAACGGCAAAATTACACATTCGTGCATCAATACAGGCATGCCCGCAGATGGCGTATAAAGTTGCATGCCGATTACACAAAGGAAACCCCGTGCTCTAGCTGCGAACACGAAAAAACGGCTCTTCACAACACTCTGTCCGGAGGTCCAGATAGACCTCCCCAGATTTCAACTTCAAGTTTTCAATGAAGAAATCGGTTGATGAAAGAAGAGTCATCCTGCTGCTCATTGATATAGTCATCAAAGGACTTCGAGATGCCCCTTCGTGTCTACAGACCTACTATGATTCAGACCCAGGACCACAACGCCACTGCCATAATTTTGTTCTTCCCATGGTTGTCAATTTGTGTTCCCCCAAAAAAACAACTAAAAGTTACATAAACTACATTATACCTCTGAAAACATTTCTCTTGGTTTGGAGCTCCTTGATATATTTCAATTCAGAATCTGGGACATATTACTAGTATATAAGGAGCTTCAGTAACAGCAAGAAGGCATACAAATGATCATATTCAAGTATTGTTGGCTCTGTCATCAATTTGTTGACATGGCACAAATAAAAATTATAATCTCAGTTGTGTTAAAAAAAACTAATAACATGTATTTACATACCTACTGTACCATACCAACTGAAGCATTTTTGGTCTGTCATCAGATCTAAGGTCTAAGGTAAGGTCAGTTTGTCTAAGGTGTTCACGACAAATATACAAAATTTCAGATTTTACCAAAGTCAAGTTGGAGAGTCTGTTTGGGATTTACCGCTCAACAACTGATTAACATTCATTAGAAAAATCATGACCTGTTCTAGACCAAAACACCGCCTCTCTTACAGTCCTTAAGCCTATAGTGGATTCTTGGTGTCTTTTCTACCTGCAAATTTACCTTCCTGAGCACTGTGTGACGTATATAATTACCCTGGATACGGTGTTTGATACATAAAACAACTCTGTTACCGCCCCCCTCCCCACTCGAACTTACCGGTCGTCTGTCTCCCCTCCTTACAAATCTATCACGTTATCCATGTCATCCTCTACACAAACGGTACTATCGTGTCCCCCCTGTATGCTATCGGTCTCGGAACACTTTTTTTTAGACTGAAACGCATAGAATTTGACCAAAACACACAGGACAACAACAAACCACGTTTCAAGCAAAGCTGTTCAGGTCAGGGGTCACATAAAGGCGCCCCTCAGCGGATTACTTAAAAAGTGTACCTCTTAAGATAGGTGTCGTTTTCCTATTTCAGGATCATTAATTTCACCCTCATTGAATAAAATTTGATTGACCCGTGTTTAAATAATTCGTGGTTACGGTGAAAAAAATTGAATAAACAGTTGAATAAATGAAAGTGCTTTTTATCGACCACGCAAATGCGCCTCCATCGGTTACTTTACTAAGTGCAGCGTTAACACGTGGGGATAATTGCCGAAACTTATTATCGAAATTCTGTCTTTTTGCTTCATTTAACTTAAAGGAGATTTATCTATAATAGTCCGGAGAGTATCTAAGACAATTTAAAGTACAACTTACCACCAAAGCGGGCACGGCGCGTCTTCCTGGGCGTAATTGTTACCCGCTCGTTCTTCCCGTCCATGTACACTCGCCATCTTGGAAAGCTAAAGGCGTGTTTCACGCACGTGTGTCATGCCACCTGTAAATCATAATCAAAATTTGCATTCGATAATCAAGTTTACGATTAGATTTACGACAAGCCAATAGGCAATCATCACACATACAGGCCTGAAAAATACAATGATTTAATTATGACTTTCATCGTACAAATTCGAATTTTTCAATTTTTCTATCTTCATCATTCAACTTTATAAATTTAGGAAAACACACGTTAGTAATTTTCCAATAAATGATCTTTCTTTGACCCATTTATCTTTTGATTGCGATAACAACATTTTCTAGCTAGTAGGTGACGACTTAGATGCCTGTAGGAATACGTCTATAATGACTCGGTACAACAAGAGTAAATTGCACTCGACGTACGTGTAAATATTACATTCGCGTACTTAGATCTTTGAGTGTTCATTTCTCTTTATCGACGATTGTTAAACTGAAAATCCAATTCTTCCCATATCATAGTATCAACGATAAGATCACAAAGTTACAAAGTATAGCCGAATATATCCGAAACGTCCGCAATTTGTGACTAAAAGGACTATTCTGGCGTCAAAAGTTATGCAATGAAATGGCCATTTGACAGTTCTTAGCTGAGCATTAATTCGATTAAAAGGTGGCCAATCAAATCAACGGATATCGTCTGATAACGAGGCTAAAAAATATGCATACTTAAGTCCAGGTGCCGCATTACGTCATGCGAGGTAGTTACGTAATCCTCCAGGCGAATCATGTAGATACATGTATGCATAGTTAAATGTAGGCAGGATTGGGTGTAAATCTTAGCGTTTAAAGTAAAAATAACGCAAACGATTATAGAACTAGTTGTTGCAATATTTTCTATATGATCCTTATTCACGTCTAGGTGTTTTCTGGACGCTTAGAACTAAACAAAAACAAAATCAAGGAAAATATGTTCAGTAACGAAAAATGAAACAAACATCAATAAAACGCATAAACTTTTCTTTCCAGTTTTTCCACCACACCCTTTCTAGAAGTGTAATAATTCATACCTGAGTTGTCCAGAAGAATCTTTCCATCCCTGGCGAACATGCACCCTTTTTTTTACAAAGTGTACTCCCTCACGTTTCAGTTAATTGGATGCTGTGATGCATCCACAGGCGCGATAATACCAATTCATCACACGTGTCAATGAGGGCCTCTAGCAGTTCATAAAATTATTGCAGGTACTTGAGGGGTTTTTTTTACATGCAATAATTTCGCCGACTGCTAGAAGTCGCTTTTGATACATGGCACAGAGGACCATTAGCCTATGTATCCTTGATGCTGATTGGTTATCATCACGGCAACGTTTGTGAGTCATTGAGCCTGGTTGGCTAATACAATTCCTCGTTTGTGATTGGTTAGAAACAAAAATGACGTGTCACTTTACGACCAAATATGGGCAACCGACTTGAAACCATAAAGCCGCTTTACAACTGAAGTTACGAAGGATTTTCGGACGAACGGGACTATTGTGGGCGATTATATTCCCCCAGATAAGCTACAGAGTTGTACGAAATGCCTTTACAGAGAAAAGGAGCCGATTTATGAGGTTAGGAGAGGTGAAAATGCTCGGCAACGGCGTAATATTACAACGAACAGGGGAGGGGGGCATTATGTGGGGATGGCTTTCAGCACCAAGGACAGGGATAGCTTCAGTTTGAACCTGGTCTTTTCTTCATGACAACAAACTGAATATTATCGCACTGACGAAGAATGTACGAAGGAAATCAATTTGTTAATTTTTCGGTGTCATTCTCAATATCATATGAATGGGAAACAGAGCCTCTGGCAGGCGTATAACTATGGCTATCCCCGAGCTGTTACGATTTTACCTTCCACCATGCATCTGCTTGGTTGCCATTCATATGGTAATGAGATCGACACTTCTGCAAAGACTGTGACCACTTCTGCAAGCGATCAGCTCATCGCAAAATCACGTTTTGATGTATAACTTAAGAATAATATAGAATGGTTTATTATTCGATACAAACTCATCGCAGCTCATGAGATGAATTGCGAGTTCACATGTAACGTTACATATACAAATTTCCATGACTGAGTTTGAGTTCCTATCACTGGAAAGTGTCACACTCACTGCACGATCGTCGTACGTAGTCACAAAGTAAAGGGCTTATACTTGAACTTATGTTGTACAAGATTGAGCTGTCTCAAATTGGTTCTGAATCTACAGCCAGAATTTACTCTCCAAGCTTGGAGAGTAGCCAGAATTGGCCAAATGCCAAATGTGATTGATGGCAGCAGCATAAGTAACAACTCAATGCAAATATTTAGGAAATGTTGATTTGATTATATGGATGACATCCACTGGGGACCCCAAAACTGATGCGAGTGTGCAAATAAAACAAAGTTTTGAAAAAAAAAGTTGCTTTCATTATGAAATCTACGTGGTTATGAAGGTTGAACAAATGACACAGAGTATGGTATGGTGAATAATCTACTCTTCAAATTCATTTCTTTACGTTTTCGTCTTTTTTTTGCAACTTGCGGTATTAATTTGGCTTACTTTGCAACTGTTTTGTACGATGACATGGCGAAATAAAAAAAAAACAGGCTAAGGCACCCCATGATAGCCGGAAATGTTGCAATATGAGCCATGAAGTCAACATACCAGGCTGGTTTATAAGCAACACGTACCTATTGGGCTATTGTACTCTGTCTGGTAGCTTAAACAAAAAAATGTTTCACAACAAAGACACCAGATTGATTTTCAGAATTTTTAATTCTGTCCGTTTGGTTTATCTGCTATGGCTTTTTCATATGGTACAGCGTGGAGCTTATAACGTGGAAACTTTGCAACAAATGTAGCAGCACATGTCTACACAGCCTGGCTACCTGGCAATGTGGCAACAGTGTCTGCCACCACTCTAACATACACTGTAGACTGCAAAGACCAAACTAGTAAGTAAGAAATCATATTCTTCCTCGCCATTACTTCTTCTCAGCGTTTCAACCAACTGTTCCATTTCCCTTCTTAATAATAAGCTATACAATATTGCGAACCTTTGTCGCATAATATTCTGTACAATTAATACACAGTCAAGCAACAACGTTAAGATTTTGAAGTGAAATCTAAACCATTGGTAGCATGAAAAAATGGTCTATGTTGACTTTGAAATACATTAAAATGGATACATACAAGCACCTCATATAGCCTGCGGTGTGCAAATTCGCTGTTTTAAGGCATGAAAATGTCTAAAATCTGTGCGCAGGCCTTGCACAATCATACACATTAAAATTGTCTATATCACAGTTTCCTCCATATCAGTATCTACAATTAAGATAGTTGTCCATAATTATTTATAAACATTCAGTACACTCTTAAAACACTATAGTTATTATTATTCTACAATTCACTCATCAAACAACTCTATGGCAATATATTAGTTATCTTAAAAAGGCAAAGGCACTATCCTGCTATAATATAATTATAGAACATTATCAAAAAATCGTGCTCCGTTTTCGGGGCCTGTCGAAATTCATTTAGTACTGTTCCAAACGTCATGGTAATGACTTTTTTCATGATTTCTACATATAACAACAATATTACCTGTTCCCATAAATTTACAAGTGCTTGCTGATTTGAATATTGGTAGTATTTCTACCCCCAAGGCCATCATTAAAGCTGCATTTTCAGCGATGTTAAAAATTTATGAAATTCAACGATAAAAGCTACTGTACAGAAAAAACCTGCCTCCTTTAAAAGCATGGTAAACGTCATTGAAGTTCCTCAGAGTAAAACATACTTCCCATCCCGGCAAGCATATGCAGAGTTCACGCTTTCGTCTATTCTGTTTTTAAGTTACAAACAAGCCAGCATATACAGAGCAATCTTAGTTACAACAATGTCAACCTGCACAGTCCCATACTTAGGTGTCACTTAGCATACATGTAAAATCAGCATCTTTACAGTGAAGTAAGGTGAGAATATACAACCGTCTAAAAGTCAATTCAGCACAGTAATACCATTTTTGCTGTTTTTTTTCTTGTCTTGCCATGTCATGGCTGGCACCTAATAAACATTAAATCTGTCTCCAGATTATAGTTATTTCTGAGCCATTATACATGTACCTTTCAATACAGTTTGCATCCAAGCAAAGGCTCTGAATGACAGCTAAGAGCGAGTGGACATTTTGAGTGCAACATCGCAAATAACAAAGAATGGACAATTGATTCCACACATAAAATAATTTTACACTGACACAAACAACAAGAGATCACAATCAATGCTCAGTACCTTTGCTTGGATACCTTACAATGGACCTAAAGAACTCTCAGCTACAACACACCCCCATGCATATATTCCAAAAATGTCATCATCAAGATGTGACTGCCATAAGTTTAATTCCTAATTGATTTTGCCAAGAAATTATTTCACATCATTTACAGCACAGAAATTTTGTACTTTCCAGAAAACAGTTTAAGTTACTAGAATCAATAGAGGGTGGTTTGAAGCTGGGAGATCGTAGGCATACGTGAACCTGGCACAGGGAGTAAGGATCAGTACACCTATATGTTGACCGGGTTGCTTTTGGACGTGATGCCTAGTGCCTTGGACTCCTGTTCGCTGAGCCCGCTCTTCAGTGTTCTGCGTACTGTGGTGAGGAAGGAAGCGTTAGGTAAAAGCAGAGCTACTACAGAAGCACAGACAAGCTCCAAACTGGGTCAGTGGCCGTCAGTGTTAACATGCTGTAAGTTATTATAAACTTTAACAAAAATCACCTTTTTCTAGTGGTTTCCACCTTTTCAGTTGATAAATTTGTGTGGAATCAACAGGCAAAACTTCGTAACTAATTTTGAACGACAGAAAAACTTGCATGCCTCAAACCAAATAAGAATTTTTAGAGGTGTATCAATAAGACACTTACTGAAAGTCCTCTATTTTCTATTCAATTTTTGGAACAGAGTGTTATAGGCAAATGATAAGTAAACTACTTACAGGTAGCTGCACTACCAGGACAATTAAGACATGAAAAAATTGTAAGAGAAGAACACAAAATGTAAATATTTCATACTAACTAACGTTATAAACTAGAAATTAAAACGCTGCATGCCAAGCTGTATATGATGTAGTGGTGCTTACTATGATCAATACAGCACTATACATAATAAAAAAAATTATTGCTTATAAGTTCTATAACTAGTATTAACTTGAAAACTAGTAATGGTGAAAATATATCAGCTTTCCTTTGAAAGAAGTTAATTTTCTAGCTATGAATTTAAGAATAAGAGTCTAATAGAAAGAGGGGAGAGAAAATAAAGTTGTACATGTGTGTCAGAAAATTCCACAGAATAAAGAAGTACAGTTTAAAAACATTCTCTGTAAGAACTCATTGTGGGGATGCTAGATAGAAAGATAAAAGATAAGTGACATGGGTGATAGCCAAGATACTGTAGAGGAATGGGCATAATCTGAAGAGGAACCATGCATACTCAAATCATCAGTCTACAATCTACAACTACTGTAAACCTGTTACAATGTAGTGATACTGTATTTCTCTTTAAAACTTGGAAAATCTGAATCAGTGAGCAGATGGATGACTTCAGCTTGTTTTTTACTTGTTTTACAAGACTTTTAAGTGCTACATGTTTTCACTGGTAGGGCATGAGAAAGACACGAAACAAGTGAAAAATGGTGAAAACAAGCTTCTGAAAAAACGTTTCATCAGGTTGGTAATCTATAGGATACAAGAGTCAGTTTTCTTTTACACAACCAAGATTGTCTTGCTTACGTTTTGGTGTCTCAGAGCTTCTAACTGGAGTTATACTTCTCACCGCTACATGTAGCCGATGCAGTTAGTGATTTTGAGGTGAAAATCCTACAACCACATTGGCTACATATAGCGGTGAGAAGCAGAACTTCAGTCAGAAGCTCTGAGGAAGGTGTCTGATAGACACCGAAACATAAGCAAGGTGAGACCATCTTGGTTGTGTAAAAGAAAACTCCAGGACTTGTATCATATAGCATGAGGCCAAAGAAAAAAAATGTCGTGTTCCCTGTTTCAGTCCTGAAAAAATTTGAGTCGGTAGGTAGAGATTATCTTTTTCTTTCTTTCTTTTTTTTAGACTTCAGTGATATCTATATAGGGGTCCAACTTATACAAATTTGAATACAGTTTAACAAAGTAAAACTTGCATGAGGACACTTTTATTTTCAACGTCAATGTTAGAAAATCAATTGTACGACATTTTATCACTCAGGTGTCTGATCATGGAGCTAGAAAAGGTTGATCAGCTGGAAAAATTAATTAGTTATGTCCCTTGCAGGGGTCCACCCCCAAAAAAAGTCTAGGGTTGGCAGGTTTTTGTAGGGTTGGTCGGGAAACAGGAAACACAACATTTTTTTCCTAGGCCTGACCATAAATCGTGACCTGATGGTTACATTGTACTCACATGATTTTCTGTTGACTTGTCGCGCCCTCTTCCTCTCCCTGGGGATGAGGCGAGTTCCGGGGTTTGTCGCCGTCTTCACCAGCCTCTCCATGATCTCCTCCGTGTTGTCGTCTGGGTCGGCGTCCTTCGCACGTGAAGACCCACTGCTGCGTCCTGAGGAAGACATGGTCACTGTTACACCTCCATAGCACACAACACAACAGATTTAACTACATTAAGTAAAGTACATGACATTGTATATCACTGTTACTAATAGGTACATTATACCCTTGAGCACAAATTTCATTGTCTATATAATTGTCATTATTTAAAAGGATTACAGTTGTATCAAAAAGGGTTTTCCTTTTGGTTCTCTGATGTTAAAATCAAGCCTAGGTTTTGTAGATAAGCCAAATTTGCAATGGGATCAACTCAAATAGAATAATTACACATGGCACATACATGTAACACTACTATCATCAAACGCATTAAGACAGTGTCATGAGGCTATCTCGCACAATTGTCTGTATTTAAAGATACAAACCATACGTGTGCAGGGCACTGTAATATTGTGCCAAACTGACTGGTCGCTAGTCATAGATTGGTATTTGACATCTCAAAGAACCTCTAAAAAACAGTAAAAGGTTTGCTAACAATCAAGAACATGCAGGGAAACAGGTGCTGTTGTGTCATGTGGGTCTGTAAACACTGCAAACTGCATGCATGCTGGAACAGTGAGGTTAGACAGAGGATGTACATGTGTGATATCTAAAAAACTTCACAGGGGAGATTATAAACCACAATTGATCATGTTAGTCCAGGTCCAGGGAAGAATAAAAGAAGTCTGTGTGAAACAAACAAGGGAGTACTGAGTTTGAAATGCACTTCAGCTTACTGGCATAGGATGGATACTGTAGGTTGTCCAAAAGTTGAAAAAAAATCTATGAGAAACTTGGGTTTCATAAACACAAAACACCATGATGTTTGGGTTTTCAGAAGTGCAAAATATTAAATATAAAAACTGTCAATACATGCAAAAATCAAACTATTCCTGACCAGACCAGAATATGTTGATTTTTGTATCATATTAAGTTGTACTACCCCGCTAAATTGATTCAAATAAAGATTGATTGATTGATTGATTGACTGATTGGTTGATTGATTGATCGATTTGAAGTTTGCTGAGCTGCAGTTCAACACGGTCTGATCCCAATAACAGGACATGCACATGGGTTAGTAGCCGCCACCATTTAGAATCAACATAAGTTACGTTCCAATACCTCCAGAGAACATTTTCTTTACAAAGTTGGGTTCCTTGGTGGAGTTTTCTGAAGGGAGGGGACACACAGGGAGTAAACAGTGGTTACCACAACAAAAGTACACGTCCCAGTTAAGCAAGTCTGGGTCCATACACCGTAGCTGTGTGAAGATACATTCAGGAAAGTCCCCAAACAAAACATCACAAAACCTTGGAGTAACTCAGGAAAAATTGTCTGCAGTACATAATTGTAGGTCCATCCTCTTTCAGAGCCAAATCTAGAGGTTCTAAGCTTAGACCACACCAATTTAATTTGTTGGTTCTTGGATTCGCCTCTTCATTTTTTTCTGATTTGCAAAAAAAAAATTCTGGTTCTGAATCAACTCAAAGATGCTCATATTTTGCCCCCAACAGTTGAGGAAAGTCCTTTTCTTTATAGTTGTTTTAACCTAGCCTTTTGTGTTGACTTCATGGCTCCTATCAAAGCATTTGAGGCTATAATAGGATGCCTAGACCTGTTTTAATTGTTTTTCTGCCTGTCACTTCAGATTTTTTCTGAAAAAATCCGAGAACTAACATTGGCGTGGTCTTATGTGCATACAGAACTTCTGCCCTGAACAATGCATAATAATGTAGCAATGTCCTCACTATGCTAACAGTCGTCTACCACTTCTATTGAAGTAACTTCCGTGAACAGTTTCATCAGGTTGGTAAGACACTGAGTAAAGAGACTTTTTTTACACAACCAAGTCTTTTATTCAGCCAACGTTTCGGTGACCGTCTGTCACCTTTTTCAGGGCAATTCTAACTGGTTCACATTGCACTGCAGCACAGGTGTCACTGCTATAGATGCATTCCCAAATGCACAATATTCACATACATGTATCTACAATGCAATGCAATGTGAACCAGTTAGAATTGCCCTGAGGAAGGTGACAGACGGTCACCGAAACGTCGGCTGAATAAAAAACTTGGTTGTTTAAAAAGAATCTCTTTACTTATTGAAGTAACTGTTCTACACTCGACGGCATTTTTCAGTCAGCAAGAGACAAAAAAAACGGAAAGTCTAACAAAAATGCAGTAAGACATTCAGTCATAAATTCTTTTCTGAAATCTCCAGGGACATAAGGAAGAGTGTGGGTACAGGTGTGTGAGACTTACTTGCTTCCCCAGTAGACTTGCCACGGGTTCTAAGCCGGGGCTCCATGGAGGTGTTGAGGTTGACCTCCCCGTTCATTGCACTGTGTTTCAGAACGGCCTTCAGGGCGTTGGCCTCTTCCTCCTCCTTCTTCTCTTTCTTAGACTTTCCAGCAAAGTTCTTGGTCTACAGAGAGGCAAGGATTACAAGTCTTAGACATGTTTGTATTTTTCTCCTTCAAACATGTGACTCAACAGTTCATATCCTTACCTTACAGCCCAACCTGCAGTGACCATGTCTAACAGTTTACAAAATCTGCCCTATTTTGACTTGTGGACTATATAGGCATGCAAAAAGACTTTCCTCCTAGCACAATTTCTTTACATAGCCACAGCATAGTGACCTGCTACATGTATGCCAAAACATCAATATGACATCAAAAAGAAAGCTGAACTGTAGTTATATAATGTACTCAGAAAGCCACAAGTCAAAAAGGGAACAACCAGTAAAGGTGGATTATGTAACAGCCCTTTCACCAAAGTGCAGTAGCATAACATTGTACAATCATAAAACACAGTCTTTAGGCCACACCAATTTAATTTGTTGGTTCTCAGATTTTTTCACTAAAAATATGAAGCAACAGGGCTATAAAAATAAAAACAGGTCTAGGCATCCTATTATAGTCCCAAATGCTACAATTGGAGCCATGAAGTCAACACAAAAGGCTGTGTTAATATTGAAACAACGAATTTTGAACTTTTAATCAAACCACTGCATTGATAGATTGAAAAACTACAACAACTAGGAAGAAAATAACTTTCCTCAACTGTTGGGAGCAAAATATGAGCATTTTTGAGTTGATTCAGAACCAGAATCTTTTTTTTTTTTGCAAATCAGAAAAAAATGAAGACGAAACCAACAAAGTAAATTGGTGTGGCCTTAACCAGATATGACAACAGGTGCAGAGGCAACACAGGTGAGAGAGAGAGGCAAAGCTACCTGGAAAATAAACCTGACACCAACACAGTTATACATGTACACTACACAGACCCCATGTGCACCATCATGTCTCACCATCATCTGAGATAAATCTGCATGTGCTTCTGGGAACCTCCGTCCAAACTCCTGATGGTTGGAAGGTAATGACAGAATGAGAACAGTGGTTTCTGTCAGTTTGATTCTCAGTCTTTGTTTGCCATTTTGTATCCAAACATCATGCATCTACTAGTAGATACATGTACAATCATGACTTGTACATGTACATCTACAGTTCTTGGGAAAACATGCCCAGTCATATTTAGTGAACCATATTGTCTTTGCGCAACCCGTTTTGAAAAATACAATTTCACTCTTTTGCCAATTTACTGGTACAGTGTATATGAGTTATGATTTTGCTGTTTGGACTTTTTGTTGTTCCTTTCAAACAATGACAACATTAAGGACAGACATGGACAGAATACAACATTTAGGCAAGAAACACTACAATGAACAATGCATTACATAACATGTTCTTGTAGCATATTGTTGTTCCTTATGTATCATAGCCACAAAGAGCCTTGCATTATATTAAACATTGTATAACAGTAGTGTACATTACAGCAAAATGCATTTTCTATACTATCATGAAAGATCAGATTGTTGGTAGTTACATGTTTAAAATTAAGACTTTTGGTCTAACACAGAAAGTTCTCTCACCTAGAACTTTCACTCTGGTCTTCCTCACTAGACTGACCCAGTGAGGCTTGTCACGTTGCTTCTTTGAAGTGTGATGTCAACACTGGGCCAAAGATGTCTGGCAGACGTATCTTACATCAGGGCCCACCACCCTTCACTGAACCACGACGGGGGCTGACATCGTCTACCAGATACCTTTGACCCAGTGTTGACATCACACTTCAAAGAAGCTACGTGACAAACCTCACTGGGTCAGTCTACTGAGGAAGACCAGAGTGACTGGTCGAAAGCTCTAGGTTAGAGAATGTTTTGTGTTGGACCAAATAAAGTTTTAACTTAAAGCATTTTCTATAGTTCAGAGAAAAGTACAAGATGAGACACCCACATCAGTGATCATCTTGCCCCTGGTCTTGTTCCTCTCTCTCTGGTTGGCCTTCTTCTTCTGCTGCTGTAGAACCCTCTCTCGAGTGGTGCGGTACTCCAGGGCAAACTCACTGATGGTCTTACAGAACTGGTTGATGTTGGTGTCCTTGATGGCCTGGGGTGTCATCCCCGTGAAGATTAACAACTTGTTGAATCTGGAGAAAGGAAAGGATGTAAGTGATGGACTTTTCGATCTATGTACACTCTTTCCGCCTGTTCAATTGATTTCAATACGTTAGACCCTATAGATAAATTCAATTACATTATCAGGGTAGATAATTAATACAGTATTCAAATAGGAAAATACATTAAAGAATGTTTCAATCATAGAGACCACATGTTAGAGAATAGTTAGACCTTTATAATTGTTACAGCATACATATACATGTATTCTGTACATAGGATGACGTTATCCACACATGTATTTAGCTTTGTTAGATCTTTAGTTGTAGACCATACAAAAGTCCCTGTACTTTTTGTTGTGTCAATAAAGAATTTGTCTAATACAGTGCTGTATACTGAACATACAAATACATTTTTGTACTGCTACATTAAGAAAGTGAATTTAAAAGAGATCTACCAAGGTAGCATCAGTAATCCCTGAGTGATGGACACTTCAGATAGCCACATCTTCAAGACATTCTTAAGAATAATAATACAATAACAGTACTGGATTGTTTTGTTTTAATGGAGTGTTCTTGGGTATCCAGCTCAGTTATGGGAGTTGACATAATACTCATGCAAATCATGGATAATATTACGTTGATGAAGGTTAGACATCCAGGTAAACGATACTCGTAAGAAAATTCAAACTCTACTACTGGATCAGTTACGGATTTTTTATTTATTTCCGGACGTTTCGAGTGACATCCATCACTCTTCTTCAGCGTCACAAATGAACAGAGAACCGATTCACTCTTATATACAAGTAACTAGAAACGTCCGGAAATAAATTAAAAATCCGTAACTGATCCAGTAGTAGAGTTTGAATTTTCTTACGAGCATGGATAATATTGTAACATGTTAACAGTGCAAAGACTTCCAGAGGTGAAGGGATTTCTGTGTTAAGACAAGTAAAAAACTGACATGACTAAGTCTTACCTGTTGATAACTCTTCTATGTACAATCTTTAGAATGGCTATTCTCTCTGTACAGTCCTTCAAGAACTCTGTTAATCTGCAAGAAAAAAACAATCATTATGATACTCACTGTATATAACCTCCTGTGACAAAATAGAAAATTATTTTTTCCTCCATCTCTCTCTAAAGCCTTACATGGTATATCATCCTTCTACGAAGTTGGTGATCAGAACTAGACACAGTTGCCGTAACAAAGGTGAAATATGGTCCCCAAATTGTCCAATGTAAAAAAGATAATTATCGTTTCACTTGACACTGTAAGGATTTTGGACCCTGAACAAGACTACTTCCTGAGAGGGGTGAAAGACGCTATTACATCAGGGCCCACCACCATTCACTTAACTGCGACGGGGGCCGACATCGTCTACCAGATACCTTTGACCCAGTGTTGACGTCACACTTCAAAGAAGCCATGTGACAAGCCTCACTTGGTCAGTCTACTGAGGAAGACCAGAGTGACTGGTCGAAAGCTCTAGGTGAGAGAACTTGTTGTGTTGGACCAGAGGTTTTAACTTTAAACAGATAATTATGTTTGTTGAAAAAAGGACCTATCATTCTGTTGTAACGTACTTGTTTTTCATAGGGGAAGCCATGTTGTGTTTAGCAATGGCCTTCAGGTTGTCCCACGATGCCCTGCACTGCTTTTCCATCTTGGCAAGATTCAAGGTCAGCAGTTCAAAGTCAACCTGTCAGACAATCATCAAAAACATAGAAATGATTATTACCATGATAGGATTATCGACATCACACTACATTGACCCTGCAGTTCCGGAGCAAGCAGCTAGGGGGCTCAAACTCATTTCACTTCATCCCCAGCACAAGAGCTATCTACAATGTAAATTTCATGACCCTATCATGTGCAGATCATGAGATATCAAATCCAGAAATTCTACTGCAGTAGCATGATAAGCCGCCAGGGGGCCCAAAATCTGTTTTGAGGTCTCATCAAGACCTACCCACCTACCAAATATCAAGACAATCCATGAAAGCCTTCTCAAGTTATCATGTTAATAAACACACACATACACACGAAGACACAGTACATGTAATTACAGAAGGAAATGTAAAATCATTCAATTAACATGTAAAAGAGGGGAATTTTACTGTGTTGTGCTCCTGTCCCACACATACCTTAGATGATCTTGTGACAGCACCTATTTCTGAGTAGAGGTCTGTGGACTCTGGAAACTTCTCCATGACCATGGTACACAGGTGGTACAGCAGGGACTGCTTATGTACCGTGTCTTTCACCTCGGGTACCTTCGCTAGGTAGTCCAACTGGAACCCCTTACACTATGGGAAAACATTAAATGTTATCATTTGTATAACAGCAACTATAATTACTAATAATTGTAATGGCATAGCTTGTTATCATCAAAACATGCTTCTAGCGGCATTTCCAGTGGTCTGGGAAGGTCTCCATGAAGTTCAAACAGAAGACAACTTTTTCGAGTTGATGCACCTACCTGAGCACCATTGAGGAAGTTGCCAATGGCTAGGAGAGTGGCCAGTATGTATCTTAGAGTCTTGTTGTTCTTGAGCTGTTCCATGGCCTCTTTTAAGTCCATAAGGGGCTCTGCAACTTCCTGTAGCAAAAAAAATGTTAGCATATGTTAGCATCCATGTTAGGTAGTAGCACAGACATACAGCATATAGATTGGTAACAGCAAAAGGAACTATCATGTCCCCGGTGCTGACTGTGTTTCCCTGTCCCTGGTACTGACTGTGTTTCCCTGTCTCTGGTGCTGACTGTATTTCCCTGTCCCTAGTACTGACTGTGTTTCCCTGTCCCTGGTGCTGACTGTGTTTCCCTGTCCCTGGTGCTGACTGTGTTCCCTGTCCCTAGTGCTGACTGTGTTTCCCTGTCCCTAGTACTGACTGTGCTTCCCTGTCCTTGCTGCTAACTGTGTTTCCCTGTCCCTGGTACTGACTGTGTTTCCATGTCCCTGGTACTGACTGTGTTTCCCTTTCCCTGGTACTGACTGTGTTTCCCTGTCCCTGGTGCTGACTGTGTTTCCCTGTCCCTGGTGCTGACTGTGTTTCCCTGTCCCTGGTGCTGACTGTGTTTCCCTGTCCCTGGTGCTGACTGTGCTTCCCTGTCCCTGGTGCTGACTGTGTTTCCCTATCCCTAGTGCTGACTGTTTTTTCCTATCCCTGGTGCTGACTGTGTTTCCCTGTCCCTAGTGCTGTGTTTCCCTGTCCCTGGTGCTGACTGTGTTTCCCTGTCCCTGGTGCTGACTGTGTTTCCCTGTTCCTGGTGCTAACTGTGTTTCCCTGTCCCCTTTGGTAACATTCATTGACCCAGTCCAAATATTGAACTTTCATGCTTTGTCTACAATGTATGTTTCCTATTTTCCTGACCTGTTCCATGGTCTCATAGTCCAGTTTGAAAGCCCAGAAGTTGAGTCTGGCTGTGAGTTCACTGATGGAGGACAGGGTGAGGAGGAACTGCTCCGCTGCCCCTAGCGGCGTGTCAGGGTTCTGCATCTGGGCCTCCTGGATCTTCGTCTTCTCTTCGTCAGACGGGATCATCTTAAGAATCATCTGAAGGAGACACAATGAGAACATCTAAGTTGTCTTGCATCAGGTTTTGAAGCCTAAAACAGTGCTAACTGACTGCACAAAAAAAGAAAGCTATCTGCACTGATCATTAAATTCTAGTAATGACTACTAGGAAAAGGATGGCCTGTTGCGTTTCTTTTTTGCCTTCATCAGAAGGCTATGAAATCATTTTGCTATAGTGTGGGAGAGCTCTTGAAGGCATGGTTCGATGTTCATGATTTTTGGCAGGCAGGTTACCGTTGTATGTGGAGACCAAGGTCAAGTTCAAAAATGGGCCTCATGGGGGGTTCCTACATCACTGCAACAGACCTTTTGTGTTTGTAGTTTTTATAGAATAACTACATGAGTATTTGTGAATGGATGTTCATGATTTTTGGTAGGCAAGTTACCATTGTGAACACCAAGGTCAAGTTCAAAAAATGGGCTTCATTGAAGGTCCCTAAGTTACTGCAATGGACCTTTTGTTTTGTCATTTGTAGCCCCACACCCAAAAATGACCCCTATGAAAGCAATGCCAGCCAAGAGAAGACCATACCTCGATGCCCTCCCTGTTCATGGCCACACTGTCCATGTTGAGGATGGCCTGTTTGATGGTTCTGGGGGGAGGCAGGTTGGTCAGCCCGATGTTGATCTGATTGGACCGCTTGGCGTCCAGGACGATCACCTCATTCTTACCCTTCCCCTCACCTACTTTCTGTAGTGGGCAAAATTTCAGATGTAACAGATGAACTAATCATGCAGACAGGCATGAAAAGGCAATTACAATTTCCAGTGAAGTCCTGGTAGCATGCATGTAGCAAATTCTCATGCGATACTACATACTTTTAAGGACGTACAGTAGATCGGTCCCATAATATGTGTGGTATATAGCTGCAATATATGCTTCTTTGAACCTTGCATAATTGATGTGCAATAACGTTGTAATTTGTAATTTATAATACAGTAATACAATCTTTTTTTGCAAGGAAGGGTTGGATGTTGCTAGTGGAAAGTCATTGTGTTATTTTTTGAGGCCCCAATGCCAAAAAAATATGTCAACTACATTTGGCACAATATATATATGCCACTTACCTTTGGAGTTTGCTCTTTGGTTCTGGACTCGAAGAGGTGCTCCAGCTTGTCTGTATCCAACTGAAACTTCACACCTCTCAAGGTGTCCCACAGACTCTCCTTGTTAGCATTGGCCACAGTGGGCGGCACGTAGTGGTTCACCTCCTTCCAGAATAACCGCACCGTTTTCTTCTTCTTCACTGGAATGGCACTGTTCTTGGGCGCAGGCCCCAGGTGGCTGGACCCCGGGGCTTTAGGAGGGGGAGGGGGTGCTCCAGGGGGTGGAGGGGGCCCGCCGAGTGGGGGAGGAGGGGGTGGTGGGGGCCCCCAGGAATGGCCAGGGAGGGGGGAGGGGGAGGGGGGATTCCACCTGGGAATACACACGGAGGAGGGGGAGGGCCGCCGAACAGGTTGGGTGGCGGGCGCGGCGGCGCGTCCGTCGATGACGCCATCCCATGAAACGGCGAGAGAACGTCCATATCGTCATCCCCGATCAAGTCCGTAAAGTCCATGTCTTTGATGATAAGTTGTCTGTCCGTGTTCATCAGGTTTTCCCACAGCTGGTCTTGCTCGCTCTTCGGCGGAGGAGGAGGGGGTTTCTTCTCCTCCTTCTTCTCCTCCGCCCTCATGGCCTGCAGTCCGTTCACCATCTTTTCCTCGTCAAGTATTGCACCAGATTTTAATTTCTCCGCAACAGCAGCGACTTTCCCCTTGGACGTGATCTCGGGCTGTTTCTTTTCCGTCGGGCTTGACACGTCCTCCTTCTGCTTTTGCTGTACCTTTTCCATCCGACTGGAAATGGTCTCCGACGTCTCGATGGACAGTCTTCTCTTTTCCTTTCCTTCTTTCGATTCGGAATCCTTTGATTCATCACTGTCTTCGTCCTCATCCCCCATCTTGCCTTCCCTGTTTTGTGCATAAAACATGGCCAGCATCCAGCGTTTGTTGCTGGTCAGACCACCGGACTGGCCGGTGGGAGACACAGGACCCATGTCAGGACTTGTCGGTGTCACCGGTTCATCAGAGACACTCTCTGTTCTCTCATCTGTAAGAGGAACATTTTACAAAATCATGGATTGTTCAATAGGCATAAAGAGACATCTTTAACCTTCTCCATGCTGACCAACCTGCAATGCTGGCAAATTTCAAGCAATAGGCTAAATCAGTGAGGAGAAGGTTAAAGTAAGTTCATCAACCAAGTCTTAGACCTTGTCATTAAGTGTTATATATTTCAAGCTTTGGGTAATCATTCACTATCAAGTGAGAAGTTAAAAAATTAATTTGTTATTAATAATTAACTATTGATTGAGAAGTTTACAAATTAATGGGTTATTAAGATAAGAGTTAAAAACAGTTTTAAAACTTTATCATAGAATACAAAATTACTTTGGATCATGCTTTGCATCATCAATACTGATTAGTGAAGGTTTAATTTGGGGATGAAACATTTAGTAAATTTGTCTTAACATTCTCCCTGCTGCCTAACAAAAAGGCTATCTCAATAGGGAGAAGGTTAAACATTATCAGACTTACGTTTAATTGTAACATTAATTATTACTAGTGGTAAACTAGCCCATATTTTGTTCAATCCAGTGCTTTGTGCTTAAAATTTAAAAATCAAAATGCATAAAATTGGCATTGTGATTCGTAGTGTAACTGAACAAGCAGAATGAATACAAACACGGCACACACATCTACAACACTGAGATTCAACAAAACCAGGATTTGACGTGCAAGGGTGAGTTGGTGGGTGGGTTGACGGGTTGTTAGGGTCAGTAAGGTGAGTATGGGAGAGGTAACTACAGTGTATGAACATAAAAAGCAAAGGTAAAAGCCGTGCTGGCACCCACCACGCCTCCGAGACACTGCAGAGGTTCTACCACCGGGTGCACCATGCTCCCCACTGGCATGCAAGAGTGGAGAAGAAGACCTATTGTCCACCACCTCAGAACTCCTAGGGGTGCCATCAGCCATGCAATCAGTGGAAGAGCTACCGGACAAGCCTCTAGTGGTATCGTGGTATCTGTCCATGCTGCTCCGGTGCGAGCGCACCAGGCCCTCTCCGTTCATGCCATCCCTAAAATCAGTGAAGGATCGCCGTGCAGCCTCGACCGATCCGTTGGTAAGTTTGGAGCGGTTTGAGGGCACATACGGGGGAGGAATGTCAGATTCTACATGGCCATTCATGTTCTCACCTTCCTCATTCAGATAAACAGGTTTAGCGACTACGGGGCCATTCGATTTCCTGTCCTCCCCGTTTAGAAAAACGGCCTTTGAGACTACTCTTCTATTGGCATGCTCGTTTTGGTGGTTAGTGTACACATGTTTAGGTTGCGATGATGAGTCCTTGTTTCCACACTCTGGTCCATTCATGCTACTGGACCTGTTGTTGTCGTTGTTACCATGTCTACAGAGTACAGAATCAGACACAGAATGGCGGAAACCAGACCCTGACTTTGTGGAGTCAGAGTCACGGTCCTCCCATGCTTTTCTATACGAGGACTTGCGCTCAGTGCCTGAGTATCTGGAGTCAGAGTTTGAGTCTTGCCATGACTGTCTGTCTGATTCGGAATTGGTTTCAGACTGTACAGAGTCTCTAGAGGACCTTCTAGAAGAGTACGAGGGTCTACTATAGCTACGTCGTTCGTAGTTCTGCGAATCAGAAGAAATGATCTCCTGCCAGGGTTTTCTGTGCGAGTTGGGGACCCTGGTCTCCGAACTCGAGCTAGACTCAGAACTGGAGTCCTCCTCCCAAGCGGGAGCGAGGGAGGGCTTCATGTCCCTCAGCGCACTGTTCAACTTGTTTGTGGCAAACTCAGGTTGGCTCTGGCTCCGGGACAGAGTGATAAAGGCAGAGGAACGAGTTTTAGCCGTGCCACTGAGAAATCTCGAACCTTCGTCCTTGTCTTTCTCCATCGCCATCTGCTCCTTCTGTAGCGCCGCCATTCTCTCCCGCCGAGACTGTCGCGGCGTCGAACCCTGTCCATTGGTCAATGCTGAAATAGAAAACGTCAGTGTAAGCGTACAGTATACACACGGTCTGGAATCACCAGAAGTTAGTACGGCAGCTTTTTCTGGGAAGCATCCACTCCACAAACCTGGAAAATGTAGTAGTAACTGTTGTTAGAAGATCTACAATATAATATAATGTCAGTCAGTCATTCTGGTATAACTAGTAAAGTTTCACCACATGCAGAAAAAGTGGTAAATCAAAAAACAAAGTAGTGACAAAATCAAACTAGTGTTCAAGTCAACTAAGTTGCCATGCAGCACTGCAACTGTTGAACACACGCCACACGGCAGTTCCTGTCAGAACTACAGGTAAAATATGGTCTGTACATCTGTCAATCACACTCCACATGGAGGGGAACCTTACAAGACTCCGCCTCAGCCTCTCTACGTTTCTGCTTGAGGGATTCTAGTCTAGAGAGTTTCCTAGTAGGTCTCTTTAGCGTCAATGCTGGGGAGATGAGGTTGTGGAGAGAAAAAACGCAACAAAGAAGGACAGAAGAGACACAGAAAAGGGGAAGAACATTTACAGCATGGATTATTATATGCAGGTCGTTATGGATAGCAGACTTACAATTGGGTAAAAATGTTAGAATATTGGAATGAAAGTGTACTTATGGGGAATGTTGCATTATCTTAAATTTCTAGCTAGTAAAAGGATAGAGAAAGTGTTGGATAGTAGAAAAGAAAGAGAAGGAAGCATAAAGCTAGATCATGTCATTTTGCAAATGTTTAAAAAGAATATGTGAAAATGAAAGAAGAGAAAGAAAAGTGCAAAGTATGAGAAAAGCGAGAATGAAGGAAGGCAGGGGAAGTCACCGTTTAATAAAGCGGCTTCTACGTCATCTGTTTGGGATTCTGCTTTTTGGTCTTCCTGTTCAAAAACTTCGTCAGGCTCTGAGTGGGACGCTGTGGATTAGTCAGGAGGGGAAATGAGAACGAAGCTAAGGAAAGCCACTTGTACAAGCAGATAAATGTAACATGCGAATAGTGCTGTGTACCGTTTCGCTGGACCGGTTCTGGACTTGTAAAAATGTTTACGTTCAAGTCCAAAAAAAAACTAAAAGTCAAGAACCAATTCCGGACTTACGACACTTGTAAAAATGTTTGGACTTGTTTTGGAACTGTTTGGAAATGTTTAGGTTCAAGTGCAACAAAGCTAAAAGTCAAGAACCGATTCCGGACTTATTACAAAAAAAAAACCATGTCACATATATCCCCTTTCTTTCCAAATCACCTAAAACCTTCCATAGATTGCAAAATTTGTGCTGCAATATGAAGAAAACATTGCCATCGGGCATCGTCAAGTGTCGGTCTCCATGTTATTATTGTGGCCACAGTTTTGCCCATAAAACATTGCAAGGTTGCCAACATGCAATTTTGTATAAAATTATGCCATGGGTTTACGTCCGGACTTACGAGTCCGGAACTGAACCTAAACCTCTGGACTTGAATCCGGACCTGAACCTAAATGTGGGTTTAGGTACACAGCACTACATGTGAAGGTAAAACTTAGGCCCACTCTAGACGAAGCATTTCGCGACAGCGGCGATATTTCCCGCTGTCGGGACGCCGCTGTCGCGACGTCTTTATACACACAAATGTCTTCACATCGAACATCCGAACGTTCGAATGTTCTAACGCGCAAAATCCAAAATGGCGGGGGAGCCGCCAATGTTTTTCCTCGCCGTGTGTCAGATGTTTTTCTTTATGTTAGTCACTCGCGTCTTGTCCAATATGAGGCGACGAGCAAGGGGTGCACACAGGAGACGGTTGAGATACCGGGAGATGTTGCTGACACGTCGCGCAGCAAGAATACACCCTGCTTACCTCCCCGCTGTCATTACTTTGGCTCTTAGGTGAAGAAACTCGCAGCCTGCGACTTTTGTCCCCTAGGACGACGAAATTCGCTGTGTGATTCTCTGCAAATCGCATACGATTACATACCTGGCCATTTTGATCAATGAAAGAGAGTTCTAATGCCCGGCGCCATATGCTAATTACCCCGCGCTATATGCTAATCGCTGAACTCTGACCTCCCGCTGTCGCGAGTTCTCTATACGCACTTTAAAGTTGTCGGGGACTCCCGCTGAGTTGTCGGCCGACAGTTTCGGAGCTGTCGGCAGAAAATTTCATGACAGCGGGACTACGCTGTCGGGAATCCTCTCTAGACGGCGTTCCCGCTGTCGGTGTGCCGCTGTCGGCAGTTACCGCTGTCGCGAAATGCTTCGTCTAGAGTGGGCCTAATATAGAGTGATGACTTAAAAGGACAGCTATACTGGACAAGACAAATATGTTTTTGACAGAATAATGTGATTGATACAACACAAAACAAACCTTAGTTTGCTACCGATAAATATTCACTCCAGGCATGTAAAAATCATCATCATCATACTTGGTACATGCTGTATGAAGCAGTTTATACCTATACATGTACTACATGTATTAGGAAACCCAGTGGTAACTTTCTTTCAGTCAGTATAGCACAACATAAAAACTATGTGAATTTATCTCCAGTTGCTTTAAAAAGAGAGAGGAAATCTTCAAGGCCTAGATTAGATAGAATTATATTCTCTAGAAGCTGTTACGATATTTACGTTATTCTTTTATCCTTGTATCCTATGTATCATGTTCCTCAGTATGATGTACATGTAACATCACACTCTGATGTATGCATTTAGCCCCATGGGCATGAACATGCAAATAAAGATTCATTAATCATTAAGTAACAATCCTGATGTAACAATCATGATGGTAACAGTTAGAAGAAGTAATGCTACACACACAATGATACATTCAAACTGGTACATGAACAGTAAAAAAATCTTCACCCAAATGCATACAGTGCTGCATACTAAGCATCTGTAAGGGCTTACATGTGGACTCAGTCTGTTCCGAGCTCGAGAGCCTTTCTGTAGTTCTTTCAACACGATACAACCCCGGAGGTGGGGAGACTGTTGGCACAGTTCACGACACACACAGGGACAAGAATGAAAAAGAAAGAGAGAATACAAAACACAAGAAACAGATTAAAAACAAAGTACACATTGACATACAAGTATTCTTCTTTGAATACCTTTTTACCTCTAACTATACTCTACATGTGATAGGTACTTGAACAAAAACAGTCAGAGGTATAGTTATTATGCAGCTAGAGGAAGCTGTCTCCAAGTGTTAAATGCCTTGTATCAATCTGAGCACAAGAAATATTATGTGCCTGGCAGTCACTATGCATTTGACAAAATCATTATGAAAGAGTGTTCAAGCCAGGGATGATTTGAAGCTAAGCAAAGGATGTGAGAATATATGAATACGTTAAAGTCTCACTGCTTAAAACATAGCACAGATTAAAGGTTAAAATTGATGAAATGCGAAGCTGAAGCTTACTCTCATCATCAACTACAAGTGGTAAAGGCGGAAGCTCGTCTAGAATGATAGTTGGAGAGTCGTCAACAGTGACAGGAGGAAGCTGATCAGGAATGATTGGCGGAAGCTCGTCAAGTGTGACAGGTGATGAAGGCTCATCAATAGATACACGTGGAGAGTCATCAATAGAGACAGGTGGAGAGTCATCAGTGTTATCAGGCAGAAGCTCATCAGGAATGACAGGCGAAGCTTCACCAGGCGTGGCAGGTGGTGAGTCAGGTGTGGAATGGATAGCTGGTGTGGGAATAATAATGTTAGAAGCAAAAGAAGAAGCACGTTTGAGTTTTGTAATCTTCAAAAAGGGAAAGACAAGTAGAAAGAAAAGTTTTTGAAAAGAAAAGTCTTATTTCTGGCCAAGCGTTAAGTCTACAAAGAAGAAGTAGGCATTGGGTGCTGTTTTGCAGGGGTTAGGTATCACAGTTTTACAAGTTTTTCTCTGAGTCAATCTTTCAAAATACTGAGAACCTTTGCTTCCCTATCTTTTCTTACCACTTCCCAAAGAAAGATTCATAAACATTACGTAACCTCAGAAAGGCAGATTGTCATAGCCTCTACCAGGCTTTGAGAGGCGGCTGGAAAGAGTAGAAATCGGTCAAATAGAGAGATAGCATGCCGAGGGAGTTGGTACGCTAGAGAGTACATTTTGCCGCACCCGAGACTGGCAAACTGTTCTCTCCATTTAGTTTTCTCTAATTGGCCAATTTCTACTCTTTCCAGCCACCTCCCAAAGCCTGGTAGAGGCTAACTTGTCAAAGAAAATGTTAAAATGGTAACTGTTGCAAGTACTGAGGGAATAGTGAAGGGTCCCATGCGTCCAGTAGAGAAAAAAACAAGCAGACGGCAAAACTTGACATCACGGATCACACGGCACAAATGAACCAAGATGGTAGCTCACATTGGGTGTCATGATTGTCAGGGGATGGGAACACAAGCTCATCGTTTGTGTCTTGTGGTGAGGATGGTTCAGACGGCTGAAGATCAGCTGAAAGGATGGAGAGAGAGGAGCCAAGGGCACATGTCTAACTAAAAGCGAATCCCCAAGCAGACGTTGGAACGAATTTCAAAGATTGTGCTATTTTTGGACCTGCCCATTTTTTGCTGGAGGGGTGGATAACCGACCACCATTCAGCAAAACAGGGCTGTCAAGAAACAGTCCAATCTCTCCTTCCAACATCTGTTTGGAGGTTTCTACAAGCAACCATTGTGATACACAGTGGCAAGATGAACAAGAATACATGAAGATGAACATGAAGGGTACCACAATGGAAAAGCACACATTGTACTAAGCTTGCATTTACTAATGATAAGAAACAACATTCTAGAAGCAATATATGCTAAAAAGCTAAAAAGCTTTAGAAAGAATATGAACAGAGAATGGATACTATCACAGAAAAAGGAAACTAAAAATGAATCATCTACATTGCACACAAATACAGATACAATCAGCAGCAAAGAGATAAAGAACACATAAAAAAAGAGTAAAACTGCACATATAAAAAAAGTAAAGTTGCAAAAGCATGCATAGAAACAGGTAGAAAGAAAGAAATGCGACAGAGCAGAAGCTTACACTCATCAATGTGCAGTGTTCTTAGTTTGTCTTGTGCTGCGGAGGATTCCTGGTCTTCGTTTTCTACTGACATGTCCTCATCACACTCCTGACCTTCCTCTACATCCTCCTCCTCATCTTCCTCATCTTCTTCTTCCTCATCACCATTTACCAACTCATCCTCATCATACTCCGCTTCTTGTTCTGTCTCCAGCTCTGTGTCTTCCTCTGACTTGGGCATATTTGCCACTGTGGCCAGAGACAGCACAAGACAAAAAGGATTTGCAAAACACCTTCTTTAAATGCTCTTGGTTCATTATTGTACCTTGGGAACAATACTACTAAAGAACATGCACCACAAGGAAATCCTAGGGCATGAAACTACATTATCATATAGCCAGAAGCAGTCGACCAATCAGAATACTCCATTTGCCATTGGTTATTGGCCGTATCCTTAAAAGTGGTCGGTTATTTGAATAACCGACTACTTTTTGGACCATACCATTGTATTCATGTCTCTGATAAGGAAAGAGACCCTTGCAAATTGACAAAGATAAGAATTTGCAAAATGCCATAGGTGCTTAGCTAGGGTTACAATTTTTTGGGGAAAGAGTACAATCATGTAAATGCACGTGTCAGTCTGTTACAAGGCATGCCTACGAAATATGACCAAAATTGTCAAGACCCAGGACATTATATAGATTGTCAAGACAGACAAACTTCACATTGTCCAACAAGGTAAAATGCTGGACAGGCAAGAATTACCAAGCTCTTCAGTAACTTTAAATAACGTTTTTGTATCATAACAGTACTGCGTCAACAGAACAACTCTAAATTCAATAGCTGTTCAAGTGAATTAAGTTAAGTTAGAAAAAAACTGAAATATGCCCAGATCCCTGAAAAGAGCAATATATTTCATGCTAGTGGTAAGATATTTGAGACCTGATTAATATTTCTTGCCAATGGTAAGATACATTTGAGACTTTATCAATTATTATTGGATGCAAAAGCAATGTCATAATCAACAGTGCACCAAAATATTAGCTCATAGCCATGCAACAAGACAGACTGTCAACAAGGAACCATTGCAGAAGCTATTTTTGTCTTCCTTGGAGATAAGATAATTATCATGGAAATGACAGCAACTTAGCAGATATGCATGCCACCATGTCTGCGTGATCTCTACCAATGTTGTTATAGAGTCTTGACATCTCTGACACAGGCAAACACTGTGGTAGCAACTGTCCAAATATCAGGCTGTTAGTTAATGCACACTCAGAGTCCAAGACTGGAAAGCGACCAAGTTCGAACTGCTATGCAGACATGGGCTAAAGATAGGAAAAGCAAAGAGCATCTTTAAGTTATTGTGGTCTGAAAGATTTGTATTTTGAAAGACAAGTTGTCAAGAGAATAATATTCATAACAAACAGTTTTGACCTACATTTGAAGCAATTGAAAATCATTTTTCTGGCAGAAGTCTTTCAATTTTTGGCAAATTACAAAAATAGCAGGTAGCAAAATTTGCTTGCAATTGCAACGTAACAATTCAAGACTATTTTTCCTAACCAACACCATCTTTTTATACTAGTTGAAAGTTCATCTGTGTTGGTAGTTACATGTTTAGAGTTGAAACTTTAGATCCAACACAAAAAGTTCTCTCACTTAAAGCTTTCGACCAGTGTTGACGTCACACTTCAAAGAAACCACATGACAAGCCTCACTGGGTCAGTCTACTGATGAAGACCAGAGGGACTGGTGGAAAGCTCTAGGTGAGACGGAGAGAACTTTTTGTGTTGGATCTAAAGTTTTAACTCTAAACAACACCATCTTTGCTTTCCATGTGTCTTTTACCACACAGCATATGCTCTTAGACTAGAACTTCCCCCTTGTTATAGGAAGAAACTCTTAATTGCTAAGATAGGAGCAGATAGAGCCTCTATGAAAGCTTACGAGTGTCAGGCTTGTCGTTTGTCTCGGTTAAAGCAGCGTCAGGCAGTGGAATGTCATTAGCTTCAGTAGATGGAGGAGGAACTAGGTGCAGTAAGAGACAAGAATGAGGATCTAGAGATGCTGTCCTGAGAAAAAAGGGGACTGAAAGAGCACTACTTCTATCGTCTGGTTGAAGTGAAACTACATGTACATGTACCAAACTAATGAAATCAACTTACAAAACAGACAGTCAAAATCACTAAACTGACAGGATGTGTGAGATACAGACTACATGTACAATGTATATGGGTATTAGAAATAGAAAATCACAAATTGGTCTTCAAAAGCCATGCAATATACATGTACCAGCTGTCCTGTCTAATTTGGTGTGTTACTTCTTCAATTTCAAGTGCCATTCCAATTCTATATTATAAAATGACCTGAGTAACTTGACACCAATTAAACAGAGCAGCCCCCCCCCCAAAAAAATGCCAAAGCCATGCTAAATTCAACATCATATGCATGACTTTTCTCACAATCGCGGGACCAATCTTCAAAGACTGGAAAATCGTGTCCCATCATCAGAACTGCATGCGTACAGAATGTGAACACAGACAGACAGAAGACAGGAGTGAAGACATGGGTTATGTGTCAACAGAGTTGTCCGTGTCCAAAGGTAATACAATCCCTCGTGTTACAACTTGAAAACATGTGATTCTACTACTAGTACTGCCAGTACTAGACATTGTAGTCACGAAAATCATGATTCGGGTACCGTAATGGTAGTAAATATTAGTACATGTATCTTGATGTTAGGCCACACCAAGTAAATTTTATGGATGACATCCTCGTGGGCATTGATTTTGGCCTGTTCCTAGAAAGAAAAAAAACAAGAAATTCCGCTTCCTGTAACTATGACCAAAGAGTCACGACAGTGCAGCAAATCGTTAGATTGGCGTGAGACTCGTAACGCGAAATGGGTAAAGAGCACATGCTTTGTTTCTGCAAGAATGTGAAAGAAAGAGGACAGGATGACAACTGCTGTTCCACCTGATTTATTGCTGTTTTGATGATAAATAAAAGACTTCTTGCTTGTTAATCTGTGTCACCTCATTCAATTTGTGTCCTAACATTTGTCGTCTCTTAGTATATTTCTAATCTAGGCATCTTGTTTTTTAGGGCCCTTCTTGTTTTTTTTGCCCTCTTGCATTAGATATAGGGTCTCCAAAAGACGTCATCCATAAAATTTACTTGGTGTGGCCTTACCTTCTATTACAACTATGCTAGTTTAACAAGAGCGGAAAGTAACCTCTTAGTAATTGTTGTTAAATGACGCATTCAATTGGTACTTCAATTACCTCAACCGTCTTAATTCTAAGTTGCAACATTTGAAAATATCAAAATACTAGATGTACATTGTACACAATGGAGAGCAACCAGTATGATGTCAAAGTCATCCAACAGCATGTAAATGAGCTTGGTCAGAAAAAATTATGTCGTGAGATTAGAAAGACAAAGATATTGAGGATAATATCCATGGTTAGAGTTAGCCTCTGTAGCAGGCTTATAGAACTGGGGATTTGGTGGTCTTCGGCTGTTTTCCGATTAGCCCAGTTCTAAAAAAATGGGGGTAATTCAACCAGACCGGCTATGTAGTCTGTATGCAATCTGAAAATAGCACATAAAAGCTTCCAAAGACCCCCAAAACCCTCAGTTTTTGGCATGCTATGGAGGCTAGGTTAAAGTCAACAGCTTCTCCAGCCATCTGCATGCAACTGAGAACTCCAGCAACCCTACAGAGTAACATGTAGCTGGCTACAGTGCTTCCTGGGTGAAAGAGCAAATTAGGTACAATGTAGATGCTTACAGAGTTCACGTCGCTCTTCTTCTCTCTTTTGTCTCTCCAGCTCGAGAACTGATGGAAGAAAATGATAAAGGCACCAAGCTATAAATACTAACATCTTAAGTAATAATCTAACCACAATAAACCCAAAAATCATATCAAATATTCACTGTGCATTGCTTGATTCAAATAGCCTTGTCATGTCACATTATACACATAGCAGCAAAGTATTGAATAAATTTGTGACAAAAGTATACTTGGAAAGTACTAATACTTTCAAACATGCCCACTATAATTGTGATTCTTCCTTGCTCCCTGTATTGCACTTATATATGGTTAGTACAATTCAAACTACAATTGTAAACTTCATGCCCATCTCCTAACACATTCACCAAATGTAAGCCTAAAAACCATGCAAAATTCAAGAAATTAGTAACACTATCATGATAGTAACCTTTTCTTTCCTCTTCTTCTAGCTTTTTAGCATATTCTAGTTGCTTGGCTACGTCGTCCCTCCATGAGTGGCTCTGTCGTTGGTAGGAGGCTGAAATTGGAACAACCTCTATCAAGAACAACTTTGTGTACATTGTACTTACGACACCATGAAATAAAACCTTAAGTCTAGATTAAAACAAATAAAGTAGCTTTCAATGATAGCAATAAGGTCCTGGTCAGATTTGTCGTACAATCATCATTTATTATGATTATGATCATGATTGTAAACTAAGAGCATTCCTTGAATACTAGTTACTGTAGTAAGTGTAAAATTACTGAAAAGGCTGTCTAGGACAATAGTATCGTTGGCGGCTTGAAAATTGTACAACATTCAAAATCATATGATGCCTATCGCAAGTGTGACCACAAAATAACTGACAACTGGCATATCTTAAATTGTGAGTACATGTACCTTACACTAGATACAAGGTAATTGACTTTACCACTTAACAAATAAACTACTAGTATTAAGCATAATGGAAGTTCAAAGATCTACAAAACATAATTACTAATAATTATCAAGTGATGCAAAAGCACGAAAGTCAGAAAAAGGAGAAGAAAAAGGACACCTTTTGCTGCTTCTTCTTTTCTTTTTTGCTGTATTTCTTCAGCCTTTCTCCAGAAGTCTGGATCAGCTGTTGTAGAAGTTCAGAAAAGTTTGAAAGAGAAAAACACATGAAAAAAAACATAGAAAAGCAAAGCGAGGAAAAGCAGCATTCAGGAAAACACTTCTATTCTATTCTATTCTATTCAAACTCTATTCTATTCTATTCTACTACTTAGTCTAGTTTCCACTATCACAGAGGACTTCACACTTAAGAGCAATGTAACAAGCACAGTATAGACATGATGAATAACTAAGCTAGATTTTAGTACAACAGAATATTTGCACTGGAACATAACACAGAATCCACAGAGGTAAATACTAGTAAGTAGTAACATTTTCTAAGACCATCAAACTTGCTTTGAATTCAGTATGTCCTCATTTGAAATATAATTGCACTGTTAGACAATTGTACTAAATTTTACGGTGAGCAATAGAAGTATAGAAAGAGCTCTTACATCTAACCAGTTCTGTTTCCTCCAAATATCTCTCTTTCCATCTTTTCCGGGCCTCCTCTGCATATACCTCTTTCACTGGGGAAAAAAGTTTGGGGTTTAGCCAGAAAATTTCTTCTTGGTTAGTGAAGATGAAAAGTCATAAAAATGCATGATGTTGTTATTTTTAGGTGGTGGCGACGGATGGTGCTGTGAAATGGAAGGTAAATATATTACAACCTGTTGGATGAAAAAAATGGAAGGTTTTAGTAATGAGAGATGCTGCTTTGATTATTACCGGTATGCATTTTACTGTGAGTTATTCCGTATTGCATGGGTGCTTATCCAATGTCGCAAAAATCAGATACAATATCGTGGGCACTGAAATGGCTGTGTGATATGCATAGATGAAGAATGGTGACACTGCATTGTTCATGTTTGATTCGCATCTGTCTATACATGTAAGACTAATTCTCTTGTGTCTTAAGGCTTGTAATGCTGTGTTTATATTATTAAGATTGTCCATGCTGATTTATGCCTGTCATATTTTCCCGTATGTTTAACAAGATTTTATCCAGTGACTTCAAGCCATTACACCTAATATCAACCCCAAACGTGAATCAATCCAGGCACTCGAATCCCTTGAACTTTCCCCAGAAACAACCAAGATTGTCCATGCTGATACATGCCTGTCATATTTTGCTGTATGTTCACCAACTGAAGATTTTATCCAGTGACTGCAAGCCATTACACCTAGTTATCAACCCCAAAAGTTTATCAATCCAGGCACTCAAATCCCTTAAAACTTTCCCCAGAAACAACCAAGATTGTCCATGCCGATTCATGCCATTTATATTTTGCTGTATGTTCACCAACTGAAGATTTTATCCAGTGACTGCAAGCCATTACACCTAGTTATCAACCCCAAAAGTTTATCAATCCAGGCACTTGAATCCTTTAAACTTTCCCCAGAAACAAGGAAGATTTTCCATGCTGATTCATGCCATATTTTACTGTATATTTAACATCAAGATTTTATCCAGTGACTGCAAGTCATTACACCTAATATCATCCCCAAAAGTGAATCAATCCAGGCACTTGAATCCCTTAAACTTTTCCCCTGAAACAACCCCCAACTCCTTGCTCTTACATCTTTGTTCTTCAGCAAGTTTTCTTTCCTCCTCGAGTTCCTCGGGGGTTTTCTTAGGTTCCATCTCTTGCTTTTTCTTGTCTTCCATAGACTTGAGAATCTCGTACAACGTTCCCCTCTTAGTCTTAGGCTCTGGCTCCGTTTTCTTTTCCTCATTTTTGCTGGACTTCTCCTCATTTCTGTCCTTGTCTTTGTTGTCAGTGTCAGAGTCAGTCCTGGTCTTATAGCGAGAGTGGCGGTTTGCGGAGATGCCGTAAGTTGTGCCGAGAATGTGGTCGAATTTGGACAGTTCCTCTCGCCATGACCTGCGGCCGCCGCGGTTATAACCATCGCCTGAGACGCCAGCGGGAGAAGGAGGAAGAAAAGAAGAGGAATGTGTTAAAGAAACAGTTAAGACAGAGCAGAAGACAGAAGACATTAAAACAGGTGGTAGTGGATAGAAATTACATTGCAAAGAATTTAAGATACAGAAGTTTAAGCTGTGAGATAGACGAGAGCATTCAGAAATTAAGTTCAAGAATTGCTTGAAAGAAGCAGTGAAAATTTGTTTGCACAATATGAAATCACAGTTGCATACTAAGAAGTACAGATTTACAAATTTTTAGAGAAATATTAAAAGCATTCTGTCAAGGCAACAATTTCTACAGTACATCTGACCATGTCAGTTAAGGGATATAGTCATCAAACCATGCCTAATCTTTCACTTTACAGGATATTCAAAAATTTTCTGATACTGAAGAATTATTTCTTGAGTCAACATACAAAGTTACTGGTACCAACATTTTTAGACACATGACATCAAGTATGATGACAAGATCGTCTCTATCAAAAGCATGAAGTGATCATATGTAAGAATATTTCAATGTCTGACATGGTCAAATACATTGCAGTTGTCATGCAGTGTAGAACTTCATCGCAAGACATACACTTAGACGTTGTCACGCAGTAACAGGGAAGCAACAGTGGTCCTCAAATAGCTGTGACACCCTCCATCTTTGGGGCAGCTTGTGGCCTGAGGTTTTCATTACGCGAGCTTTTCTCAAGGGTACGTTGTTGGCTTGTCTTCACACGGGGTAAACAGTGATTCGCTGTGCAAGCTAGATCTGTACCCACCACTTGCTACATCGTGTCTTATCCCCGAGGTCTCTAATCTCCAATATCTTACCAGCTAATTTCTGCACGCGACATTCTCAGAGTTGGATTACAGTTCTGTGGTAGCCTACTGTGGGAATTGACTTATCAACTGTGTTATACTAGTGATGCCGTACATACGCAGGCAAGTTAAATATCATAACAAACCTGGTATCTTTACATGTATGTAGAAAATACATAGCAGATGTAAAAGTTAGTACATGCACGAGCACAGCTGTGACACTTAGCAGAAAAAAGCAGCGAGCATTATAGGGAAGAGATTCTTACTATTGCTACTCGTTTCTTCCTGACCACCATATACTCTGTCTCGCCAGGACCTTCTTTTCCCAGCTGTGGAAAGAACGACAAATTGTTAGTACACTGTATCTATCTCTTCACTAGTTAGACACTTTCCTCTGCTCAGTGTACACGGTCCAGGAGTAGCGGTCGTTCATATAAGCAATACAGACAAGTCAGAATAGCTATGAGCTGAATATAGACCTGCCCCGAAGAACCACAATCCGACAAAAGAACGACACATTGTTAGTACACTGTATCTCTTCACTTAGTTAGACACTTTCCTCTGCTCAGTGTATACAGTCCAGAGTAGCGATCGTTCATATAAGCAATACAGACAAGTCAGAATAGCTATGAGCTGAATATAGACCTGCCCCGAAGAACCACAATCCGACAAAAGAACGACACATCGTTAGTACACTGTATCTCTTCACTAGTTAGACACTTTCCTCTGCTCAGTGTATATGGTCCATGAGTTGCGATCGTTCGTAAGAGCAACACAGACAAGCCAGAATGAGCTGAATATAGACCTGCCCCGAAGAACCACAATCCGACAGATGTCAGAAAATCCTGACGTATCAAGCAACTGCAAAACCACAGTATTCCACCAAACAACCCACCTTCCTCCAACGGTCCCAACATCTTGGCCAGTGGAAAATGCGTGGGGAGTCCGTCTCAGAAAATCCGCTGTATATAAATCACAACAAGGAGGGAGCCGGAGCTATCTATGATGCATGATTCAACCCATCGGAACCCTTTCGACTGAGCCTGACCACTGCTTTGGATTCTTGAGAAATCACACCTTCCCGACAAGTCAGCTGACCAGAGGGATGGAATGCCTGGAGGCCTCGAATCAAGATGCCAGCTCCCGAAACCTGCAACACCGCTAGAAATATCTTCCTACTCTGCGTGTGATGTCGTCTGTGATGCTACGAAGACTTCTGTTCAGGAAAATCAGTGCACTATGGGACTTTTGGGAAACTTGAGTCTTGTTTTATATTTAGCTCCAAATCAAGATTGCAAACAGGGGCAGGGACGCTCGTGGTTGCCAAGAGCAAATAGAAGGACCGAGCAAGCCTGACCCGACAGCCAAGGGGTCAAGTCTCCTCGTATGTAACCCACTTCTGGTGCGGTGGTGACTTTCACGGAGTGCAAATATACGCAGAGTCACATACTGTACAGGGCAATGACATTACACAGAATCAACAAAAAATTAATAAACTCTTTGTTTTCGAAAAAGCTATTAATAAAACTAACCACAATTTAAAAAATTTTAACATTGCAATATTGCCCTTGACTGGGCAACATACGATCAATGACTAAATGATCGTAAGTATTTTCAATATTGTTGCTATATTTAAATTAGTACACTAGGTGCAAAATTATAATATATAAAATACCATAACATTGTACAGATGACCAGATCTGCCTTAAAGAAACTGTACAGACAATACTAAATTCAGAAGTGCTTTACGACAATTTCTTTACGACTTTCGATACAGTAGGGGCTTATGTATTGCTATAGTCTTGTTGTTATCGTTATACATAGCAACTGAGGGAATACTGTTTTGAAGTTTCGCCTGGTCTAAATGCACAGCCACCTAGTTTCACCACAGCTCAGCATCTCGGAAAGCGACATGTGCCAGGCAAATGTCAGAATGTGTTGTCAGGAAAATTGTTCACATGTCCCTGTCAATGAATGGGGAGGCAAACACTCAGGCATCCCTGACAACTAGCCTCCGTGGAATAGAAACCCACGTCACTCTCTCCGGACTAATCTGGAACAATCTGGTCCTCTCCGTGGTATTCCTTATGACATCATTTTTCCTGTACTAAGGCCATGTTGATTTGTTTATGAATGACATCCTCTGGGAACCCCAAAACTGATACGAGCGTGCAAATAAAAAAGTTTGGCCCCCAAAAAAGTTGCTTTCATTATGAAATCTAAGTGGTTTTGAAGGTTGAACAAATGGCACAAAGTATGGTTTGGCGAATAATCTAGGTTTCAAATTCATGTCTTTACATTTTCGTCTTTTTCCTTTGATTTTGGCATTCTACGACATTGGTATCGTTTTCCTTTTTTTTCAACTTACGGGCTAATTTTGTACGATTTACAGTATGGTTAAAAACTTTTTTTTGGAAACAGCCCAAAATCCATGCATGCATAGATGTCATCCATATAATCAAATCAACATGGCCTCATGTCCTTGTGGCCTTTTGATATCTTCTGATAGAGTCTTTACCAAACAAACGAAGGCAAAGTTTTATATTTAGCGACAACAAACAACACTAGTGGTAATGACTTTAGGAACTGCTGAAGTCAACTTCATTTTCAAGGTAGCAATCGGGGCCGCTATTCATCTTCCATTCTCATTACTTTGGGTGACAAACAGAATGACATACATGTTTACGTAAAAGCTAAGAAATTCAGGACATGTAACCAACAGAATTCCAGCTTAGCACCCTGGAGTATTCCATGAGGCTAAAGTTATATCAGACCAAGATCGGACGAAACCATGACTCACAGGGCTAAACTTAGAGAGAGCTGTCTGCTCGTATAACCGAGTCAACAGTGTACTGTGACTCTGTTTTGAAAACAGTTTTACGTAAGAGGTACTGTATATAGCCAGCTATTGCTCACCATGTACTTAAAGAAAAGGCAGCTATGTGCCTGGGAGTCTGAGCACCTTGTGACAACATTTAGCTTCAAATGAGAAAGACTTCACTTAATTCCATGTCAAGATGATGCACTACAATGTAGGTAAATCTTGGATATATCAAAATTAGGTACATTACATCTGGAAATTCTAGCAAAAGTTCCATAAATAATTTCATCAAGTTGGTAAACGAATGAATAGCAAAGTTCTTTGATCACAACCATTTATTTTTTTAGATAACAATAACCAAGTAACACCTTTAGTGCACTTATTATGCACCAAGATTTAGTGACATCTAGTGTCAGTGCACAGTAAACCAGTCAGAATTGCCCTGATGAAGATGACAGACGGTCATCGAAACATCAGCTTGTAAAAAGTAAATGGTTGTGATCAAAGAACTTTGCTATTCAGCTAGCAAAAGTTATATAACTATGAACATAGGGTGAAAATAGTAAACTTTGTGAAGTTCTTTAACATGCAGAAAAGTAGCATGTTTTGCATTCAATGATAAAGTATGCAATTCCATTAAAAAAGAGCAGTTTTGTCTCCCCCTACATCCAATTGTTATGGAAAAGTCAAAGAAATAAAGAGCTGAAAGGCAAAAGTTGCAACACTACAACAGACATGGGGTGAAACTGTATCTTTGCGAGGTTCCCTCCACATGTGGAAAGGTTCCGATCTCAAAGGAGACCTCCTGAGAATGACAAACATGGGGACAGTTTGACTAAGTGGGGTTTAAGGGATGCCCAACTTCTCACATGTGCAGCCCCAAGGCTGGAGGTGTTGACACACCATGTTGGGAAGTGTGGATTGTAGATTAAGGCCAGTCCAAGTTAGCCTCTGTAGCAGGCTTATAGAGCTGGGGGTTTGATAGTCTTCAGCTGTTTTCTGACTAGCCCAATAACGGGGGTAATTCAACCAGGCCAGCTATGATTGTTGTCTAATGCAATCAGAAAATGGCACATAAAAGCTCCCAAAGACCCTGAAGACCCCCAAAACCCCATTCTGGCATGCTATGGAGGCTACATTTGTAAGTCCAAGTCCTTTTCTTGGTTCTACACACTGTAGTTAGTAGGGTATATTTCTTTGCAAAAACTACCATTGCTTGAAACACTTCTTTCTCTTTCTTTACCAGTGATTCAGAATACCGAGCATGTTTTTTTTTCTTTAGCTCGCAAAGTTGCAAGTTGTTTTTTTTTTCCAATCTCATCTTTTTTTTTTGCAAATTACAGGTACAGTAACTGTACTGCAGCAGGTGGATTTTTTTGGCTCTGTTGTTTGATGCAATTTTGTGTGACATTTGAAAGACAATCATGACCACAATTTGAATTCTTGACCACAATTCTTGATAATAATGAATTCTAACTTTATTACTCCGTGAAGGAGGTCAGGACCTCCGGACGGAGTGTTGTAATCGGCTGATTTTTCATGTTCGCAGTCAAAACACTGGGTTCTCTTTGTGTAATCGGCACGCAATTTTATACGCCGTCTGCGGGCATGCCCGTGTTGATGCACGAATGTGTATTTTTGCCGTTGCTGCTTTCGCGGTCAATGTAATATCGCAGACGCACCCCTACAATTACGAGGCGAATTGGAATGGTCCAGAAAAACGCGTTGTTTGGAATAGCAGTGGGGTTCAAAAAAGTTCATGCAGATACGGGGTGGTTTTTATAAGTGGTTCCAGATGTTTTTGCCCATGGTTAAGAGATGCCAAGTTTTTTGGAAGATGTTCGCAGCCAAAACGCATTCTTCCGTACGTCGCATTTCTGTGTAATTTCGCATGTGGTGTTGCATTATGTCCGGGATGATGCACGTCTTTTTATTTTTACCGTAGCTGTTTTGATATTGGAGTAAATGCTTATTTTCGAAACATCCCCATTTCTTTGAAATGGTTCCGTCCGTTTATGCAACTGTTACTGCGCTAATGACGATCAGTCGCGCTGTCCTGATACACCGCGAATGTGCGAGTGTTCCCTGTAGACAGTCCCGGGAGTCATTTTTTTGCACATTCCAGGAGCCAGACCAAAATACGTTCATGAACCGAGTCCAAAAAACCGAAACGTGAAAATCGGATGATCGGACCTGATGTACATTTCTCTTTCTATAGATTGTACACACAATACACACATCTTTAGATAATCTGGCCATGGCAGGTTAAAAAAAAAGTAACCCTGAATCATACTAGATTAGCGTAAATGCATGTTAATGCGTTCAAAACAAGAAAAAAATTGTTTCCGGGTATTAATCTCTTGAATCACGGCGCTGAATATTGACGCAAAAATATTTCGGGCATCGCGCGCCCTTCCCGCGTCACGTGTAGGCATCTCGCATCTCTGATTGGTTGTTGCGTCTTAAGATGACTGAGCCGACGCGCGTTTAAACAATTTTTCTTTGTTCGATTTATCACACTTCACAGAGAATTGTCGCCAATGGCTACTTCTTTTTGTTGCAATATATAATACTTCACGGAGAATTGTCGCCTATGGCTTCTTGTTTTTTGTTCGCACAAAGAGCCCGACTAGGTCACAGTTTGGAAATACATCTTTAGCATTAGTACCCTTTCAAAAAAAATTTTATATTGAAGTGTCAGAACCAAGTAATGCACATGTATTTGGCATGGCCCTAATAAACAAAGGGGACAGGCTGTGTTGACTGGACATCAAAGGCTGCAATGTGACAAATGTGGCAAAGGACAACTGTGACTTTTTCTGCAGTGTCTAATGACTTTTGAAGTTGAGTTTGCCCTTCAAATAACGCTTATCAGGTCTGGGGTTACGTAAGGTCGCACCAGATTGATTTTAAGGTTTACACCCATCCATCCATCCATGCATTCATTCTTTTAAAATATGCAATTCCTGAAATGTAAAACAGACATTTCTCTCCTGTAAAGTGACTGATAAATTGGAGTGACAACTTGAAGGCAATTCAGGACAGGCTACCAACTTTCCAATTAACGTACCAAATCCTGATTTTTACATCTATCTCAAGCAATACCTGCTTGAGACATGAAAAATTGTAACAGTATGTACACACTAAGGGAAAAGGAACTAAACTAGAAGGTAACATTTGCAAAGCAGATGCATAATGTTTACCTTTGCATATGGTCTGCTCTGTGCATTCTTACTCAAGCACATTCATATATGTGGTCAGACAGGAGTCTAAATCCCTCCTGCTATAAAATTGCAACATGATGTAACCCAACACTAGTTACCATGGTGACAGACATCTGGTTCAGGTCATTGTTGGCTTGGAGAAGAAGAAGAGGAGGAAACAGAGCAAAAACAATATGTTTTCCTTTGATGAACATAAGTATTGTCCACTTATTTTCACCTGGTTACCATGGCGACAGACATCTGGTTCAGGTCATTGACCTTATTGGTTTTGAAAAGAAGAAGAAGAGGAAACAGAGCAAATATGTTCTGATCGGTAAATATAATTATTAAGAATTGTCCACTTACATTCTGTAGACCCTGAGAGGCCGTTCTGCTTGGGTGCCTCAGCGATGGTGGACTCCCGAGGCTGGCGCGTCACACCTGAGGAGTACCTGGACTTCCTGTCTCCGCTGTCGTCGCTGGTCTCTGACTCAGTGGAGTACCTACTCCTGTAGAGAAACAACACAGTTGAAAGATTTGTGTGCTAGAACTGAATGAAAACATCATGTAGTAAAACGTTGAACTTTATTCCAACACACAATTGTACCAGGATCAAATTTTCAGCGACCACCGTCATAATTAATGAACAATCACTTCACAACGGGATCTCGCAAGAGTGGTCGCTGAAAATTTGATCCCTGTACAATTGTGTGTTGGAATAAAGTTCAACATTTTACTATGACTTACTACCAACACAAATGAACTTTCATGAAAACATCATGTTTTCAGATTATCATGAAAGTTCATCTGTGTTGGTAGTAATCATAGTAAAACGTTAAACTTTATTCCAACACACTATTTACAGGGATCAAATTTTCAGCGACCACTGTCGCCTTCATCAGGATAATTAATGACCAATCACTTCAAAACGTGATCTCGCGAGAGTTACGGTTTAGTTGTTGGAATAAAGTTTAACGTTTTACTATCATGTTTTCAGATTTTGGTAGAACATTGATTAACATGTAAAAGGGGTTACTGCAATATTTCCAGAGTTTCTTTTCATCTGTAAGAATAAAAAGTACCAATTTTGTTCAAACTGTATGAAACAAAAAAAGATGTTAGATTTTCATGTAAAAATGTTGGCATGTACAGGAGACTGTTGAAATACTTTTGACAGTCTCCTGTTTCTTTTTACATTTAGTAAAAAAGTTCCAATTTTGCATTGCACAACAGCTGATCTACTGTAACAGTTACTGTACCTTCTAGTTTCCCCGTCTGTTTCTGTACGCCCCCTTGTTTCTGTGCGCCCCTTTCCCCCTGGACTCGGGCTGGAGTCTCCTGCGTTCAACGAGTGTCGTCTGCTCTTCCTCAGGCTTTGGCGGGCTGAAGAGAAGGCAAAATGTCATCTTATACTATCATGAAAGTTCATCTGTGTTGGTAGTTACATGTTTAGAATTAAAACTTTAGATCCAACACAAAAAAGTTCTCTCAACCTAGAGCTTTTGACAAGTCACTCTGGTCTTCCTCAGTAGACTGACCCTGGGTGAGGCTTGTCACATGGCTTCTTTGAACTGTGACGTCAACACTGGGTCAAAGGTACATGTACCTGGTCGACGATGTCGGCCCCCGTCGCAGTTCATGTCACACTTCAAAGAAGTCACGTGACAAGCCTCACTGGGTCAGTCTACTGAGGAAGACCAGAGTGACTGGTCGAAAGCTCTAGTTGAGAGAACTTTTTGTGTTGGATCTAAAGTTTTAACTCCAAACAAAATGTCATCTTGCATGGTGGCATCTCTCCCAACATATTATACATCATGTTTTTGAGGCATTAAACACCACATGGCATCCAAAAGTGTATACAAAACCACTGGACAAGTTTTTCTATTTGCAATACTCTAGGTTTTCTGGATTGAAATACAATGGCAAAGGTTCAAGAGAGTACAGTTACTATCTAAAATGATAAGCTTTAAGTGCTCACCTTCATCACTGATGGTCTGGCTGATAGTTCTTCTTGTTTTCCTGTAGTACAAGAAGTCATACTGTATTTAACATGCCCATTTTCAACATTGTAATACGTCAAGTCAACAAACTTGCATATTTTACTGTATGAAGCTACATTGTATACTACAATAATTACGTCTTTGAAATTCAATAAATATAACTTTCTTCTCACCTTAATGTGTTCTGTGAACTTTCTGGAATATTTTCTTCACCATCTTCAAACTTCAGCGCCGTCTGAAAACAACAAAGAAAAATCTCACTATGAAAATTGTTTCCCTTACAAAATACGGGGATACATTGTACTACCATGGCATGGAATTCTTTTACATTCACCACATTAATCTAATTTTTCATATTCATCATTGATATTAGGTATATTGCTGATTTAGTTGACTAAAATGTAGAAGTACTGTCTGTTTACCTCGTATATCTTCATCTGTTCCACAAGGTCTAGATCACTTCCCTTCTTGGTTAGATGTCTCTGTAAGGAGGATCAAAAAGATAAATATCAGACTGCAGAAAACTGAATAGAAAGCAGTACATGTATACTTAGGAACTATGAAAGCATGACGATCTAGCTCTGCTATACTTGCAATGGGCAAAAATCGTCAACATATACCATACTATTAGGGCACAACTGCAAACTAAGACGTGGACAAATAACATTAAAAAAAAAAATTAATGTCTCTGGGTGGCAAATGTGCTGATGTTGACACATTGGCACACCAAATCCGTAGTGTGTTTTTGGCACACAGTTAGACAGATTAGCCTAAGAGGCTCGGTGGGCGTCACTCCACCGTACCGGTGGGAAAGTTGACTGTGTAAAGTGCCTTTCCCAAGGGCACAACGTCGGGGCATGGTGAGTATCAAACCGGGTACCTATTGGTTCCGAGTCCAACGCTCTAACCATTGTGCAACCGACGCCACAACAAATAACATAACCATAACATATTATGCATATTTCATAGTGGCCCTGCTGTATAAGTTCTGTATAATGCATTGCTGACCTGTATGATTTTCTCCAAGCCCTGCTCTTCTAGTGAATCTGTGACATCATAGAAGGTGTCCTGATCGGGAACTGCATTCAGAGTCTGGAAAATAATACAATTGAATTGAATCAAATTTGACAAAAGCACTATCCTTCACTTGACACTATAATTACATTATGGTTCTAAGTAGAATTTCTACAGTCCTTATTGCATATAATGAACATTTTCTATGAATGATTATCTCACCTTGTTGACCAGTGTCATGGCATACACCAGCAGTTCTGTATCAACTGCATCTCTCTCGTTTAGAACATCCATGATGTTGGACCATGGTTTGTGGCCTGCAAACACACAACAATACTGTCTGTTACCATTCCTTACAAAATAATCATAGTAAAAAACGTTGCATCATTGGCCTCTTTCTGTCTCAATAGACAATGGTCAACTCTGCATACATTGGTTTGTACATTTTGTACATAAAAGAATTTTGCCCATAGCAGAATGATAATTTTCCAACACACAATTTGATAACTTAGACAGGACATCAAAAAGACATCCCTAAATACGAGAATACAACCAGGCTTATTAGGGCTTGGAAACCTGATTTTTCACTTAGTCAATATTCTAGTTGTTTGTCTACAATGAGTTGAAACCATACTATCCCAATGTATATTGACCCTCTTGGAGCAAGGATTCCCAAAATTCTGACGGAAAATGGTTACTGGAATGGCCCTTGGCTGATTTTTGGGGTACCTCCCAGAAAATAAAAGAGTCATCTTGGGGCTTGTTTCTACAAGCCCAAGGTAATTATGAAATACTGATTCAAATGTGCTAATGTGAAGCAGTACATGTATGTGTGAATATGACAAATGTTGCCTTTTTCAGAATATTTCCATTTTTTCTGCTATGAAATCATACTGGATGTCTGCTTAAGTGCTTTCTCAGAATACATTACAGATTTCCCACAGATGCAGTACAAAGTCAAAATGTCTGCCTACCTCTGCTGTTGTCCACAGCATCCACAGCCTGGACCAGTAGTAGTGCATTGTTCTCTGTGTATTCCACAAACACCAGCAGCAGTTTCAGTGTGGTCTTCACCACCAAACGGAACTACATGTAGGAAAGGAGAACAGGTTTTCAGTTTGCATGAAGAGTTCATCAGTTACAAGTTTTATCACAGCAAAGTATAACATTGCACAGGATCATACACAATGCCAAAGCTATACATGTAACTATCAGTCATGTTTACTGTGGTTGCTGAATTGTATGTACAGAGGATTCCACTTATTTGTATTTCTTATAATTGTATAATTGTATAGAATTCTAAAACACCAACATTAACCATTCACTCAATTGTAAAAACAAACATTATTGTATAGCGCATTATCGTATATTCCGGCATATCGTATAGAATTTGGTCCGACTAGATCGTATAATGACCCAGGGCTACACATTAAACATTTCAAAGACAGCATGAATGGACAGTTAAGTGTATAAAGACACTGGACCGCAAAAAAAAATCGAAAATGAGTGTTTAGGGCCACAAAGAATGACATTTTGTTATAAGCATTAGCACATCTACCATCCCTTATCTATTGTGAGACCTTGCGTGTCAGTTGAACACAAAATGCCGACTTCAGCACATTCTGGAGACTCCTGGAACTCGTGTTATTTGGAACAGTCTGAATACAGCACCAGATTAAGGTTCCAAAATGCAGACAACAATTTGCCACTAGATTAGGTTGTGCTCAAAGCAAGAAAGGCTTCTTGTATCTTAAGGATCAAAGGTCTGTCGATAACAATAAGAGGGCAGTATAATGACTATCTAACTACAGTGTTATATAAACATCAACAACTGATAAGTTAAGGGAAGTAAACAATCTCTATCTGGTGAGCCAAAGACTTGATATTATATTGATATTAAAATGATATTATATTGAGTAGACCTAATGAATCACCATTTTTAAACTGCAGTTTTAGCGTCCAGATAGTTCGACACACGCATATTTACATGTACCTTGCGTCCCATGAGTTCATATTATTAACTCGTATTAAGGGATTGACCTAGGTGTTTTAACTGTTTGTCTTGTATGTTTGTCAAAACTTATTAAAGATCATTTTAACTCTCTTGGGAACCCATTGTCACTTAAGGTAGGTGATTAAGCTTGTTCCAGTTATCAGAATCTGATAATAAAGAAATGTACAATATGGGGAAAAGACCGTAAAAATTAGATTTTCAAGAAGGGTTCACTTGTTATTTGTGTTACAATTTTTGTCTCGTCACTGGAGCAAAGAAGGTACAAATTTGAGTTGGTTACAATAAAAATAGACTTTAAGGTTCCAAAAATGCTTTCAAATGTTCAACTATTTCATAGTTTCTTACATCAATCTTCTGTTCATGTACATTGTGTGTATGACAACATACAGCCATTAAAAACAAACACAGTAAACACACTGGTGATAACGACAGCGATGACAGCTAATGTGATATGTCTCAACTCTGATAAGGGATAACTACATGTATAAACCAATCAACACTTTCTGCCAACATCTAAATATAAAGACTTAAACATAAAAAACAAGCCTATCAATATCTGTCCACATACATGCGGTACACAACTTGTCAGTATGTAATTAGGCACAGTAAAACAATATTGATTTGTAGCACAGTGACTGATTTCAGCTTATGGTCCGAGTTTATCTCTCATTGGCATCGACCCTGTCTCTAGGACCCCCCCGGGTTCCGATAGCATCTTGTGTACAATCACGACGCAAGAGGTCATTGAACCCAGAGGGCCTGCATGGGGGGTTAGTGAATTACGCAAAATGTTCGCCGCCGATTACGAATTACGTTCAAGTTTCAGAGCTGATTACGACTTTACGCTTTGCGGCTAATGTACTGATTACGAATTACGTTGATTTTTGGGGAGGCTGCCTACGGATTACAAAGACTAAAAAGGCCTGATTACGCCTTACGAAAAAGCGCATGCAGGCCCCCAACCCAGACTAGCTGGATCAAGCCAACACTTCCAGCTGTCCTCCTTTTCAGGACTAACCCTTCTTAACTGTTTCTTGGACCCACGGCTGATGAATGTCTACGGTGAAGGTCTTAGCTGTTTCCCTCACTTTACTTGGTGGAAAAGATAAATTTGGTCTGGTACAGAGAATAGGTCAAGGTAGCAAAATTGTTCTACACGAAAAGTCAAGGCACTATCTTTTAGGAACAACAGTTAACTGTAACAGTTGTACTATCAGCTAATGATGTGGTTGACACAGAGATAACTGAGCTTTTTTACCTGTATGTCTGTCTTTCAAACTCTAGGTGATCATACATGTTTTTTGTTGTACACAAAAGTCAATAGACTATCTTTTAAGGAACCAACAGTACTAGTAACTGCTGTACTATCAATGATAATGATGACACAGAAATAACTGAGCTTTTTTACATGTGTGTCTTTCAAACTCTAGGTGTCACACACACACACACACATTTTTTGTGTGTGTGTGTGTGTGTGTGTGTGTGTGTGTGTGTGTGTGTGTGTGTGTGTGACACTGTGCATGTTTTTTTTCATGAAAGAATGCTTTCAAAGCCTGAGGTTTCAACACTGTGACTTTCATGGACTTAGTTGAATGATTTTACCAGAAAGCTCACAGGCTTTGCCTTGAAACTATTGGTTAACAATATACACTAGTCTTTCTATCGGAGTACCTACCTTTGATGAGATGAGAGAGTACAGCCACTGGATGGTCTCATTGTGGTTGATGACACCGTTCATGCCATCCACATACAGCATCACCTGCCCCAGGGCTGCAGCAACAAAACACAAACAAAATATCAAAAAACACATTCACTCACCTCCAAACATTGCTTCCATCAAGGTGTCACAAAGTAGGACAAGACACTACCACAGCAAGGACCAGATGCTGAACTTTGGACTTTGTTTTTTTTTTTTAAGCAGTTTCAGTATCTCAGTGAACATACTATGATTGTGTCATTATAAGTTGAACAGAATTTTAAGATGTTCTAAAGAAGATTTCCTTGCTAAAAGCAGACACAATCTATTAGCAGGAAATACAAGTATCTGGATGTTTCTAATGAGAAATCTGTTCATCACACCAGCATGGATTTTGAATACCATCATGATGTAAGATTTTGAAAAGAGATGCCCTTGTCTAGAAAAGGCAAGGAAAATGATGTCACAGTTCTCAGAAACATTATTGGTAATACGAGCACACAGATTCAGTCAAGTAAACTGAATACTTAACATGTGTTCTTATAAGAAAGTGCTATTGTCTTAAAAAAAGAAGAAACAATTTACATTCAAGAATGCTACGACATTACAGAAGAAAGCAAACTTCAAGAGGAGTTCTCACTTGTAAAATCTACTTGTGCCTGCCCTTGGCACATTGTTAAGGTCGTGACTATGTGACATACAGCAGCAGACATTAAGAATTGAGATTTAACATCTGTCGACAGGTCTAAAAGCAGACAGATATCACTGGCTGGCTGCAATTCCAAGATTTCTAGAGACTCAGAAAGAAGTGAGGTCTTGGAAGAGCAAATTTCAATGTGTTTTCACATCTTCAGGCCACACCAATTTAATTTGTTGGTTCTTGGATTCACCTCTTCGTTTTTTTCTGATTTGAAAAAAAAAAGATTCTGGTTCTGAAGCAACTCAAAAATGCTCATATTTTACTCCCAACAGTTGAGGAAAGTCATTTTCTTCCTAGTTGTTACAGTTTTTCCATCTATCAATGCATTGGTTTGATTAAAAGTTCAAATTCATTGTTTAATATCAACCCAGCCATTTGTGTGGACTTCATGGCTCATTTCGTAGTATTTGGGGCTATAATAGGATTCCTAGACCTGTTTTTATTTAATTTTTTTCGCCCTAATGCTTCACAATTTTTCTGAGAAAATCCGAGAACCAACAAATTAAATTGGTGTGGCTTTACAAAGTCTTACCTCTGAGAATGTAGTTCTGGTAGTTTTGGTCAGCCTCCACTCCCACCTTAATAAGACACGTGAGGCCTTCCGAGTTGACAAACTCATGAACAAGGTCTTTGTCATCCTGTAGACGTGAGATGGCAAAAAAGTTTACAGTCAATTCTCATTAATTATGCAAATCAATTCCTGATTTGCCTAATTACATCTATCTGATTTCTGTCTAAGCTACCTGTATAGGTGCAAATCATAAAGCTATCATTTTGCAAGTCTTGCTATCATAGCTCTACATATACTATAAGATTCTTTTTTTATGGCTTCAGCACACCATGACGTTCATGTTCCAACAGAAGGCATTGGAAGATTCCATTGCTGCATGGGGGTACAGACTATTGGAACACTTCACATTTTGGACAGGGATGAGTTAGAAACAATACATTTGTGTGAGAGGGGGATATGGATCCATTTCTGGTATGGGGGATGTGGTGAAGCCATTTGCTGCATTTGCTCCCGAGCAAATGTCAGCCTTTCTAGTTTCTCATTCATTCTTGTCATATCACTCTAATCATTACTGACTGTAGCTCACATGCCAAACTCAAAACATCACTTTTGAAGACTCTTCCAGTACCAAAACATTAAGTCCTTGTAACGTACATCTGCTAATTGCCATCTTAGAATCCCTCCTACACAGCTGCAGGGGCAACCCTAAATACTCTCCCACCGATGTCAACATTTCATTAAACAGGATTAATATTGGACTGAGTAGAGCACTTTGGACTAATGTGCTGTTTACAGCTTAGAGGTACATATCCAATCTTTTGTCAAAACTTCTCCGTTACATAGTGGATCATAATGACCCCCAGCGGGGGTCTTCACGCTGCGTTAAAGATGGAAATAATCTCAAGATTTATTCCAAAGATCTCAATATGTTATAAGACAAAATCTTGAGTTCTTATGAGACAATCTTGAGATTTTTCATGACAATCTCAAGATCTTTCAGAAAATCTTATTAAGATGAAAACGAAAGGTCTCAAGATCTTTCCAAGAAAAAAATTCTTGTTTTCAATCTTGAGGTTTTTCCATACTATATTAGCATCTTGAGATGCTTTAAAAATATCAAGATTGTTTAATTTTACTTTAAAAGATCTCAGGATTTATAAAGCAATCTTGAAAGAAATGTTGAAATTGCTTCCTAAACTTGAGATCTTTTGAACAATCAAGTATTCCTTGAAGATGCAGAAAATCATTTAGACTTACATTTGATAATATTATTATTTTCTTTTGCGGTCTTTAAGTAACACCACAACGTCAATTTCAAACAGGTAATTACAGTCTGAGGTGCATTTCTACCAATTAAGTTTTGCAAATTTGAAGCGGCTTTGCTAACGTCCCTAAAGTAAAGAACCCTTTTGTTTGCATAACTCCAATAGCCACTTCTAGACTGTACAGAAAAACACTCATTAGCAAGAGTATTCCATGTGGACACTTCCATTAAGGCTATTCTAGAAATTGGATTTTGATGATTGTGGATTGATGGGTAATGAATACGGCCATGTTGATTTGATTAAATGGATGACATCTGCACACGCATGAATTTTCGTCCTTTTCCAAAAAAGTTTTCGATCATACTGTAAATCGTACAAAATGACCAATATATGCCATATGTTGCAAAAAAAGTATTGGAAAACGATAGAAATGTCATAGAATGCCAAAATCAATTCAGGAAAAGAAGAAAATGTGAAGAAATGAGAATGAAGAGTCTAATATAGTATTATCATTCAGCATACCATACTCTGTGTTTTTAGTCATTTGTTCAACCTTTATGCCCACGTAGATTTCATAAAGAAGGAAACTTTTTATTTTTGGCCGAACTTTTTTTACTCACACGCTCGCATCAGTTTTGGGGTTCCCAGAGGATGTCATCCATATAATCAAGTCAACATGGCCTAAAGGAGGGGAAAAACACTCTCTTAAGGACTTACCTGAAATATTTGCTTGAGGGAGAACAGGGCACGTCTTAATTCTCTGCCACTGGAATTCAGCAGTTTTTCTGCAAGAAATCAACAAAAAATCTATAAATATGATTTACAAAAAAGGTACCAAAATTAATGATAAACAAATACAACTTGACATTATATACATTGCCAAAACATGTGAGATGCAGCAATCATTAGAATAATACACTTTACAATATCAATTTTAGCTTGTAATTGTAATTAATCAATGCGAGGGTCATATTGCAATGGCACATCCTTAGTATGATATAGCCAATATTAAACTTTAAGTATAATATTACAAAGATAATATTGACATGTTATGCACTTTAAATATCAATATTTCTAAACCAACAATCTGCAGTGGAAGGAATGTCTTAGTCTTAACTTCAAGATGTCTTAGTACAACTGTAACTTGTAAGAAAGTCACAGCAGGATCAGATTAAAGAGCTGCATATTCATCACTACTACAAGCATTAGCTCAAGTCCAACATCTTAATTCTGAAGCTCAGCCAACATCTTCTTAGCAACGCTTACGACCGAACCTATTTATAGAAACCCTTGGGGCCAAAGTCAGTGGTGATTTTGAAGAGGAAGCTTCAATGATAGCAAGCATTGGTGAAGAAGTTGGAAACTATCGTAGTGTGTGTATCAAAGGGAGCTAGTGAGGGCCTGTAGGCTTTGCACAGTGGGCAGCATCACCAAAATAGGCAACACACAACACACGTTTCTCCTCTTACAAAGCCCTGTGTTTAATCACCACACTGGGAAGGCTATAAAGCACTGGTTGATGTGACAAGACTGAAAAGCAGACTTTTAGAGCAATTCTTACATGTAGAAATTAAGGTTTTATTATGATTTTGAAGAAAATCAAACCTCAAACTGACATTATTTTTGGATCACCAAAATTTCATAAAATTGAGCTTCTGTAAAAATAAAGTACTGGCTGATGTGACAAGACTAAAAGGCAGTATTTTAGAGCAATTCTAAGATATAGAAGATGAGGTTTTATTGTGATTTTGAAGAAAATTAAACCTCTTAGATGACTTTATTTTTGGATCACCAAAATTTCATTAAACTGATATTCTGTAAAAATAATTATTGAACAAGATCATGTGTCAAACAAACCAAGACAATCAAATCAAACTTAAATTAAGATAGAGATATTTGCAATTACAGTATGACGATCTTTGCAAAAACTCTTTGTTTACAGAACAAATAAATGCGTTTAGAACAATAAACGTCCCATACATAACTTCCCATTGCTGCAAGCCTTGACTGGAATAAAAAACACACAAACACAGCAAAGCAATAAAAACATGAAAAAAAGATTGTATTACAACATTCAAGTTTAAAGCTCATCTTCAAGTGTCTGTTCTATGTTTGTTATAATATAGCAGCATTTTCTTCAAAACATCCCAGACTATGCCTATCAGTCATATCAGTCAAAAATGTAGGCCAGCTACAAATAAGGCTTGATCAGCAAAAGAAATACAAGATCCCACGTTACCTATGATGGCTTTGGCACTGGTAGTCCTAGCCATACTTCTGTACATAACCCGAGCAACCTTGTAACATAGACTACAATAGCATCTTCTGTTGGGGACATCTAATATGCTGACCGGTAAGCCTAGCTAGGATGGAGAAGCACCAGCCATGGCTGCCAATGGGGAGCCCTGTAACCCTATACAACACATTCCTACCATGTTCTAACTATTGTGGGACCCGGCTGCATGATGGGTAGGGCCATTAGGAGGAAGGGAGGCTGGGAGCTTGGCTCCTGTTACCACCGTGCCATCAGCTATGATAAGAGCCACCGCTTAACACCACAGCTGTTAAGAGTCGTCCTAAAGGGTACGTATGATACAAAAAATAGTGAAAATTCTGAAATTATAGTCTCAGTGTAAGTTTTGTTCTGCACAGCCTCCCTGTTTGAGTATAGATGGAATAGTCCATCAAGAAAGAGGCCTGGCTGCCTTGAAGACCTGTTCCTGTCATTCAAACTGAGAACAAGTTTACTGGATATGCCTTGAACCCTGCACGGCCAGAATGGAGCTGCAAAAATTATCTCCCGTCTGTTTTCATAAAAGTATACCAAGCTGCATACTAATTAAATCAGTATTCTAATTAATTTGATACTTAATGTGTTGTCCCTGGTGCCATGTGGATTACACTGGAGAGATTGGCTCTCCTGAACTGTACAGAAGTGCCCTCTAGCAGTAAAGATGTGAACTGCATCAATTTCTTTTACACTTGATAAAGCTGTGAGTGTGAAATTCAGTCAACCATCTGAAAACCTTCAGCTAGAATTGAACCAAAAGGTACATGTAGTATCAATGTTCTAAACCAACATAAGTGTTGGTGGAAGATTGAATGTTTGTTTGTCTGTTTGTGAGAACTAGTACTGTTGTGACGTAAACATCCGTCCAGAGGGACATAAACCTTCGTCATGAGATAAGAGTGTAGATCTGGCAGGGTGAACTGCATAGCTGCAAGGCTGAAACTCAGGCCCAGTTTGACGCCAATCTCATTCATGACGCAAGGAGTTGGAGACAGAAGGCCTGGCTTGCAGAATGCCAAGGATTTCCGTCTCTCGAGGAAGAGGACAAGTTAAAAACGGCAGCATTACGTTTGTTAGAAAACTTGTGGTCATGCGAGTGCTACATCATTACCATCATCACCAATGGTGATGATATATACCAGATACATAGAACCAGATACAATGATATATACGCAGATTCATTGGCAAAAGTTAATCTGTATCTGTATCAGTATAGCCAGTATAACCGCCATTCCGCGTTACACACCAGCTTCGCAGGCACGCGGCGCAGCGGCAGCTAGCTATATCACACCGAACGACTTGTTACACTCAATTTTTGCACATTTAATCGCAAGAGTTGTTCAAAGCTTTCTAGTGATGATGCCCCAACTGTGCTTGGTGGCAACGAGTTCCAGTCTACGATAGTGCAATAAAATGCAGAACAATGCTTTCCCAGCCTCAAATTTCTGAGATCTGACATGGATCAATTTACTGTAACATTAGGTGTGACAACAGTTAAATTTATCACCCATGTACCCTACATGTATTTTTCTCAACATAATATTGAATTTACATGGCTATTGCTAAATCTTATACGCACGTTGGCCCAGGTATCAAGAACAGTCAAGAAAAAAATTGAATTTCACAGTTTTAGCCAACTGTAACAGTTATACATGAACTTGACACGGCCCCTGTTACTCAAGTCATAAAATAGCACTACAAAAGCCTTCAGCGCTATAAAAGTCTTTATATACAATTTCATCTGTGGCGCTTGTACAGTGTAAGTGAAATGGGATAGGCCTATTATGCATAGTTCCAACGGGAGTGTAGCAACACTAGAAACCTGGTAACAGCTTATCATTGTACAACATCCATAGAATCCTCCAGGCATCAAAACATGAGCACGGGACAGATTACCAAGCTTCCTGTCTGATCCAGATGCGATAAACATGTATAAAAAGCACAAACATTACTATACATAGAAGCAGCCTGGCTAAAATTAGTTGCCAAGGAGTCAATGAGTCGCTTCTTAATCTGAATATCATGATAAGAGTATACATGAATATATACATACATATTATACTGATGATAAACATTGTATAAAAAGCACAAACGTTACTAAACATAGAAGCAGCCTGGCTAGAATAAGTTGCATAGGAGTCAAGGAGTCACTTTTTGATCGGAACATCATGATAAGAGTATACATAAATATATACATACATTTATATATACTGATGAAAAATGATAAGGAATTCTTATATGTCATCTTGATTTGTTTAGATATTACACCCAATTCAATATTCATTGCGGCAACCATGTATTTTGTTCCTTGTTCAATGAAATTTACATACATTTATCACCATGCCTAAGCCCTAATGTTAGACCACATCTTGGCAGACATGACCGTTAGGTCAGTTTGTTCAACCTTGATATAACCCCCATTCTTGGCTAACTTGGCAACATGTATGACGCAAGTTTAGGCCTCAAAATTAAATCTTCTTCCTATTTCCCAGCACTGTGCCAAAAATAAATTTCAACTGTCCCAAAGTGAGGATGAACTGTCCCAACCTGTTTTTTGGAAACTATGTATAACTTCAACTTAAAGTCAACTTTATTTTGCTTATGTTCACTCACAATTGCAGTGTAGACAGGGAATTTGGGGGGACTTTCCAGATCCAAAAGCCGAGACGTGTGCCTGATAAACAAAAGAAGCCAAGGGCTGACGTTCTGATGTTGATTATTTTTCTATTGTCCCAAAAATGTCCCGAGGTGTCTTTTTAGTTGTCCCAACCTAAATTTTAGTGGTCAGTGCATGGCCATAAATTAATTTCAAGCCCTGCAATGTACATGTATGACGCAAGTTTATGGTGACTCATTCCGACTGTAACAGTTGGTCCTGTTGGTTAACTGTCGCACACATGAATGTGGAGACTGTAGAATGTTGTTTGCTGAGCCGCCACCAGGTGATAGTGTTTGTACAGGGCTGCATGTGGCAGCATACCGGAGACAGTAATCCTAACACACGTCACACACCCGGAATGTACCTGGCCTGGAATCAGCTATACCAACCTGTCTGCCATGGTCACTTACAGTTCCATAAAAGGCTCAATTTCACGCATGGGGTGTTAAACTTGAAGACCTACCAAACTCAATTAGTAGTGAATTATACCAATATTCAATTCGGGGTCGTGTGGCACAGTCGGTAGTGCATTCGGCTCACACCCAAGAGGTCACACGTTCAAATCCTGCCCATGTCACCAATCTTGTGCCCTTGGGAAAGGCACTTTACACCACTTTCCTCACTTCACTCAGGTGGAAATGAGTACCTAGCTTCGGTTAGGGACGTCCCTCAGATAGGGCGTTAAATGGAGGTCCCGTGTTTGGGAGAGCCACACCCCACGCATGTTAAAGAACCCACCGCACGTATCGAAAAGAGTAGGGGACCTTCCCGGTGTGAGTGGTTCAAACCTTACAGTCCGGTCTTACACAGCTTGTACATGTAGGTACATATACAAA